AATAATAATAATAATAATAGAATGCAGTCTGTCAAAGTAAACGAACGTGTTTTTATTGCTATAAGAGATACCGATGAAATTTACAGAAAATAATGAAAGTGATGATTATTTATTATTTATTCAGTTATTGTTTTTATTATATTATATTATTTATTTTTTTACTTATTATTATCTAGTTTATTTAATTGCATGTTTTATTTGAAGTTGTATATTTTATCTATTATACTCATCATTTGTTTATCATATTAATTGGCATGAATGTACCTTCAATAATTTTTATTATGAAATTTAAATATATTTTCTAATTTGTTCATATATTTGACACAAGTGAATTATCCTTATTTAATTATTTGTAATTAAATATTCTTTCAAAAACGTTATATTATATATGATAAGGAAAAAGAAGGCATAATGTTTACTATAACTGCTTTTTTATCCTTTCACTCCACTAAGACAAAATATGACGACTGAGAATCTGATAAAAACATTATTAATGAGAAAAAACAATAAAAAGAACAGAAATTAAGAATACGCAATATGATGATTGACATTGAATTTAAATTTTTGAAGATCAAAGTTGATTGGAAAGCAAGTAAGCTGAAGAGAGTTCCACAAGTGATAAGTGAGAAGAAACTGTTAGCATACAACTTATGGTTACATCTAGCTGTTTCAGCCATGATGAGATCAATCTAGTACTGCACTTAAATTTGTAAAGTCTAGTTATCAAATAGGAAAGCGTATCATAACAATTACTGTGAAAATATTTATAGCGAATGCACATGGAAGCTACGTTACGGCGGTGGGAAAGGAAGTGAAGTCGAGATGCCAGGTCAGGACAATATGGATTATGCCAAGAATACGCATCAGAAGTACCAGACCATATGTGACTGCAATCTTCAATGCATGGACTAATGGTAAATTCATTAAGGTTTAAGATATATTCTGAGGAGAAAATCTATTTAGGAGACAGGGAACCAAACTTTCCTAGCAGCAAACCCACCAATTGATTCAATATAAGCACTCCACTTCATGTCAGTGAAAAACGTTAACCTGAGAAGGCGCAATGAGTCACTCTCTTGGAGGTTAACATCAGTCATGTTGATGAAAGGCAAAACAGTTAAAAAAGACGGTTAAAAGATGGTAGTTTCATTTTGGAGGCGTAAAAATGAACAAGCCATTTCTTGACCCAGTTAACAGCAGATTGGAGGTCATTTTTGAGACCAGCAGCCAATTTGACTTTTTCAAACCAATCAGACTCACCATTAAGACAAGAAGAAATAGCTGTGTCATCAGCATAGATATCGAGTCGAGAAAACTGATAGAGCGGGACACCGGCATTGATGTAAGTAGATGTAGAAAATTGGCAGTTGAAGATACTTTTCATTTCGTGAATATGAATGTATTAAAATCATAACTTTCATAGAAATACCATAGCCTTTCAACTTGTGAATAAAACCACCATGCCAAATCGTGTTAAACACGTTAGAAATATCTAAAGCAACAGCTGAGCTTCCCTATTCTTATCTAATGCTTGACAGAATCTTTCAGCAATAACCAGTAACACATCATTAGTTGACTTAGAGAAGAAAAAGGCTTTATCTATGTAAAATATGTGCGATTTTATTTTTCCAAACCGCTCAGTGCAAAATTTCATGATGCCATTTCTGACTTTAGATCTCTGGTCGGAACCTGGAAAGTATACACCAGAAATCAAAGGAAATAATAATAATAATAATAATAATAATAATAATAATAATAATGATAATAATAGTAATAATAATAAGGCCCATCATGGTATGGATATAGTCTGGGGCCCACAAACCAGCCCCCACGTAAGGGCAAATACGAACTAACTATAATGCTGACGAAAAATATTGTTAAACCACATCGGTCGTCACGCGAATCAACAAGGACCGCGATTCACAGTGAGGAAGCAGACTGGGATCGAAAAGTTTTCAACTGAAATAAACTCTACCCAACGAGAACTGGAGTAAAACCACGTTGTGGACAGTCCTCAAAGAGGCCTTCTATCTTCATTAAAAAAATATACCACAAAACGAACAATAAACAAATGGTCTAGGGAAGAGTATATTGAAGTAATCGTAACGTTTTACACCGCTATAATAAACATCGACAACAACGACCAAAGCCATCTATAATATCTGGCGAGAAATACACCCTTCAAACAGACTAAACATTAATGCTAACAAACTAGCCAATGTCAGGCGTGACATCATCAGGAAAAAAGAATACCTGACATAGAATTTGAAAACATCCGAGAAAATATCAAAAATAGATTAAACGTTAACATCGAGGGGCTAAATACCAACAACCCAGAGGTGGCACATGCAGAGGAACAAGTGGAAACCAGTTGTAATAATCTCTCTGAGGTACACAATCAAATAGAGGAAGATAATGACGAATATAAGAGAGAAACAAATATGACAAAAATACCCGATATAAATGGGAGAAGGTAAAGGAAATGTCTTTCGAGGAAAGGCCGACAATTCCAAAAGAAAAGCCGTCAATAAAGAAAAATATCAACCTTGCTAACAAAGCAATTAAAAAAATAAAAGACCGATGAACCTGACAGAAATTAATCATCTCATCACACGGGCATATAATGATATAATCATAAACCTAGAAAAATGCCTCAAATGGCTCAGGTGTGGAGTAACATACCTACTCCTAGGAACAGAAGAGATGCAGAACCCGAAGAACTATAGACCTATTACCTGCCTACCAAAAATATACAAGATAAGTACATGTCCTCTCGGTACATAACTGAGAGGACATACAACTTCACTGAGAAAAACAATTTACTCCCAGAAGAATAGAAGGATGGTAAAAGAGGAAATTATGGGTGCAAAGACCAACTAAGTTTCAATAAAACAATATTGGAAGAGATGAAAATAAGGAAAAGAAACTTATCGATAGCATGGATTGACTACAGAAAGGTGTTCGACAGTGTACCATACTCATGGATACAGAAGAGCCTAAAAATATACAGAGTATGCTCCACAACCGTCAAATTCGTAACGCAGAGCATGAAAAACTGGAAACGACACTAAACCTAAACCATACTAACGGGTCATTAACATCGAGACCAATCAAAAGCGTTATCTTCCAAGGAGATTTATTGTCACCACTGCTCTTCTGCCTTGCGCTAGTACCACTCAGCTTTCTACTGAACATTAGTAGCTACAGATACAAGACACGGAATGGCAAACTGAATCACCCATTCTATATAGATGATCTTAAAGTGTTTGTTAAGGATGACAACCAGCAGAAAAATCTACTCACTGTTGTTAAAACCTTTAACGGCGAAGACATTACGATGGGGTTCAGAATCGACAAATGTGCCAAAGCTAACTTCAAAAGTGGTAAACTAACAATAACTACATATTTAGACCTTGATATCAACAACAAGATAAAGGAACTAGACCAAGATAATACCTACAAATTCTTAGGAATTAATGAAGGAGACGCAATAGAACATTCAATTATGAAGAAAATGATCCGAAAAGAATATTATAGGAGAGTGCGTTTGATACTATAAAGCAAACACAATAGGACCAATAAAATGAAGGTAATCAACACCTTAGTTATACCCGTAGTAACATACAGCTTCCACATTATTCAATGGAAGTTAAATGACATTGATAGAATGGATGCCAAGACCAGAAAAATGCTTACCCAAATGCTGATAGGCTGTATAGATTAAGAGCTTTAGGAGGTCGAGGCCTAATCCAACTACAACAAACGGATTGGAAGCATACCTAACAAAACCAATGATACTCTCCTATAAATAGTAAAACATCAAATCCACGCCATGAAAAAAGAAGCTACATTCTTCAAGAACCAGCATATTATACCTGAAATCCTACCAACAAAAAATGAAACGAATACCATCTACGCCAAATAAATAAAACAGAAAGCAAAACAACTTGGTCAAATGAAATTACAAAAAAAACTGCGAGGACAAAGCGTTTAATGGCAAATACCTAAAAAAAGAAAAAAGAAGCAAATGTGGACCAACAGAAAACACATCAATAGCTGAGGAGCACCGGCTTGAAAGCTGAGACAGAAGGCCGAATTAGTGCTGCTTAGAACCAAAGTTTCGCAAACAGATCCTATCACTGTCAAATAATCAAGGATGGAACTAACCTGAAATTCAAGATCTGCGGAAAATATGATGAAACTATCGACCATATTATCTCAGGATATCCGGAACTAGCAAAAAATGAATATATCCAGACATAACAAGGTAGAAACATATGTGTACTGGAAGATATGAAATAAGCACAAAATCGAAACCACTGAGAGATGGTATGATCACCAACCAGACATAATTACCCAAAATAACGATGTGGCTATCTTCTCGGATATGCCAATTGAAACTGATGGAAATAAAAGCCAACAGACTTGATATTATCATTAAAAACAAGAAATTCAGGGAATGTATGCTTATTGACATAACAGTACTATCTGAGAGAAAAACCTCCATGAAAATTATAGAGAAATTGTCCAAATACAAGGACCTGGAGATCGAGATTAACAGGATGTGGGAGATGAAGTCTGAGACTGTACCAATAGTAATCGGAGCTATAGGCCTCATGAGAAAAGGAATGGAGAATTTTACTAACAGAGTCCCAGGTAACATCAATATACAAGTTGCACAGAAGATCACCCAGGAACATCCCATATACTAAGAAAAGTACTATCAATTGACTGACAATTCTCTGATAGGGCCTAAAAGGACCATAGTTTGGAGTTGGCTCTACAGGATGAAAAGCAGGAAACATAACATGCACAAATGATGATAAAATGATAATAATTAGGACGATGCTGATAATTATTACTTCATTATCGTAAAATATTAATATTAAAAATAATCATAAAATATTTAGCATATTATCTGTGATTATACAATTATCTTTTTATTATTTCTGTGTTGGCCAAATTAATAAATTGTCATTTTGTTATTTTTTTATTTGTAGAATATTCAATGGTTTTACGTTATGGAATATGGCCTCTTATGTCGCCTTTCGAAATGATTCCTCAGTCTTGTGTTCAGTTCCATCACATTGGTGACATTGGTTCACGTCTGTGGGTGCTGGTGCATAATAGCAACGGCCTAAACACGACGTCATGGAATTATTCCTACTCCGATTTACGAAAATGGACGCTTGGTCAATTCGAAATACCCGGAGGAAATATATCCTTGATATTCGTTGGTTTTAGTGAAAATTTGGGAATAGCGCTTGATAATGTAATTCTTCAGAATGGCAACTGTGGTCCAATTGGTGAGTAATTACATTTACATTCTCGTATTAAATCTTATTAGTTATCTTTCTGTAAGCAGAGGGAGTAGCTGTTAGGAATTGATATATTACAATTGAACTTTAGTGTTTATGCATTTATTATAGCATCCAGTCTTTGGTGTTGTTTAATTTAGTCTCTATGTACATTTCTTATCTTTGATTGAGCTCTGATTAGAGAGGATCGATAAACCATTCATGCTGATATATTTTTTTTTATTTTTGTTAATTGTTTTTTGAATTTCGATTTTACCACATTAAGGCAACGTAAACTATTTTAAAACTCTTTTTTGTTATTCTTTTCTGTTATTTTAGTATGTCCGTTTTAATCGCTATTATCCAATATAAAAATGACAGTCGGTGAAATGGGATGAAGAAGTTTTCCTAAATTCTATGTTTAATCTGAAACGATAATCACCGAGAAAACTAATTTTATCACCACGTTAGCTTTATATTTTCGCTTTGAGAGTTAAAAAATGAAGTTATTTGAATAAAACGTAAATCACAGAAAATAAATCACCTATATTTGGACTGTTTTCTTAGAAATGTGTTAATATATCTTTATTTGTCATATAGATATTAAAAATACAAGCTATAGTACTGTGTCGAATATCATCACCGTCTAAATGTTCTCTACTTCTTGACACAAATTAAAAAGATGCTTCAGCGTTCGACGCGGCTGCAGAATTATAAAATGCCTGTAACTTAATATTCTCCAAGATTTGTAAATAAAATGATTTTATTCCAAACATTCCATATTAGTCGTATCAGTAATACTTTGAGCTTAGATTCAATTCAGATTTTGTTTTCTTGTTATTTTGATCAGAGATGACTTCTAAAAAAATATGTCATCGGATATTGACTTAACAATGTTTTAAGTTTCATTTTTCTTCAACAAATATGAATGTTGATAGGATTCTCTTTGGGCTAACCTCTTTATTATTTTTCATTTTCCAGTTTGTCCAGATGATTCTTTTACTTGTGGTAGTAACGAAAAGTGCATTTCTCATCGAAGCAAGTGTGATCGAATCCAAGATTGTGCAGATAACAGTGATGAAGTCAACTGCAGTATGTATTCAATTCTCAATTCAAATTCATGAAAACATTATTTTGAACTACATTTGAAAATCAAGCAAATCATTAGTTATTAAGCACAATTCGTTTCTAGTATTAATTCCGATAATAACCGATTAATTCCGATAATAACCGATTAATTCCGATAATAACCGATTAATTCCGATAACTGTCGATTCTAGAAAAAATTTATCTATTTCCTGTTATTATGCTTCTACTTTTCTAATCGTGATTGATTTACGGCCAAGAAATAATGTAATTTTAGTTTTGTAGAAATAATACTGCAATTTAATTTACTTTCTATTAAAGACGACAACACTTTGCACCGAACTGACGGAAGGTAAAGCGGTGGGGATATGAATCTGATAGGAATAGTCTTAATCTTTTCCTTCCATTTGAATTACTTAAACAGAATTTTAAAACAATCGCTTAAAAAGCTCAATAGTAATTCCCTTTTTAGTTATGGGATATATATATATATATATATATACACGAATAAAATAATAAGTCAGAGGCACTATTTAGTATTCAGCAGTTCATTTTTATTTCTATAAGATATAAAAATATATATATTTTTGCAGAATAAAAATATCTTTATTTTACACCTGTCATTATTTTATACAGCATTTCGTGATCTTGTCATTCGTTTTCCTATTGATGTAATTTTCTTTACAGCTTTTGAAGCAAATGTACAAATATCTAAAATTCAAATCATTATTATTGATATAATGCGAAAGCACACTGGACACTATTACTAAATAGCAATCTGAACTAGAAATTACTTTATTCTTCAAGTTCAAACATTTGAATTGTATTGCCCCAACAAAAATTGCGTTACAATATGCCGTTTTTGCTATGTTAACATAAAAATACTTTGGCAAATACAGATCGAAACATTATAATGCAGATATTTCATTAGATATATATATATATTTCAAATGAACTTATGATCAAAACCTACATCTTAGTTTAAATCATTCACATCTTGAGAAAATTGAGTCTCATATTTAATGGTTTAATTTTCATTATTCACACACAGAATAGCTTTCTTTCTTTTTTATTTATTTTTTAAAAATCTTTTACATGTTTATGTTCAATTGATTTTTAAGAAAAATTGTTTCTCATTCTTTTTTCTTTCAAATTACGCTTCATTGTAACAATGTAACTATTTTTCTATTATAAAACATAATATGTGTATTTGGCTGTTTCAGCTTCATCCATAGATTGTGATGTTGAAGATCCATATCAATGTGGCTATGAGTACGATCTCGGAACATGGAGAGTCAGCAGTGGAAGAAAGGAAAAATATCCCGATTTAGACCATTCTCGTGGTCTGTATTCAGGTAAGGAAGACTTTGTAGCGAGTTTAAAGTAATTCCCTCATTCATAGGATATCCACAGTCCACAAGCATAGAAATGTCAAGTCTCTCTCATTGCAGCTGGTATTCATTTTGAAGTTAGTGTCTGTAAGCGTCTGTGCCCCCCATACGCACAAACATTGGATCCCAATAAAGGCACGTAATAAAAAGAGGAAAAGCTTCGTTTTAAATTTCTGGATTCGAGGTCAACTGATTAAAGTCATTTCGTTTCTTCTTTTGTTTTTTTTTTTTTTTTTTTGGGGGGTGCTTCATTTTTTGAATGATGAGAAAAAGGTATATTTTATTTATTGTAACTGCTGCAACTTTATCTCTATCTCTGTCTATCTATCTATCTATCTATCACTTGTGTTAGTTTAATTATTCATTTCATTTGTATCATACAGCACATTAAGGAGATTCAGTGAATGTATACCTATTTTAATAAATACTTGAAACTAGTAAGCAGACATTCACCTTTGAAAATCTGTACTTCTGATACCCCAAAACTCATTTTGTAGTTATCATTTTTCAGACTAAAATTATAATTACATGACCCTTCTGCCAGGAACACAGGGGAATGCTGCTGGTCCGACGAAAGAAAAAAAATCCAGTGCGTGCCCCTTCTTTTTCAACTTTAGTTTCAAGTACTTTTTATTATTATTCTGAAATATTTATTTCTTATTCTTTTAATTTCTTCTCATTTGAGTGAGACTCAAATACACAGGGCTATTTATAACGGTCCTGAGTGCTTAGGGCCCTGAATGTCTTACTATCTGTACATAAATTTCGCTTCTTTAAACATTAAAAATGGTGTGCATTTCTGAGGTCGTCATATTTAGTTTTTAATTTTGTTGATCAGAATTTTGAGTTATTTCCCCTTTTTCCGAAATGACTTCCTCTCATCCACACACATGAAGTGATTGACTTCATATCTGTTGGATAATAGGTTCTCTTTCCAGTCTCTAAACATTAGATTTTCTGGTAACATGGGACAAATAGTAGTAGAGAATCTCTTTGAAATAAATCTCTCTTTTATTCAATTGCTAACTATTCACACTAGTAACACAGGTGATCAAGTGACGGCAAATCTCATCAATACATCGGCACTCATAGTTTTCTTGCTGTTTTTAGTAACGCTGCTAATTTCCTGTTCCTCTGGTCTGATCTGTTGGGGACTGTTTCTAGTGCTCCGAAAGATATTGGCATGACTGTCGCCTTCACCTTTCTTTAATTCCTCACCTCCTTAACAAAGTCTGGGTACTTATCTAACATTTTCTTTCTATCAGTTCTACTCTTTGGCCCATTCATTATAAAGCATAATTTTTATTCTTGTTTAAAACTTACTCCATTCTCTCGGCCTGAAATTGGTGATCCATTTAAATGTTAGAATCGTAGAGGATATTATATTTCATTCTCTTGGGTCGATTTTTATATGTTCCAACATCATTGGTCTGTGTGGCAAAAATATAGTCGCTTGCACTGTTTCCAGTGAATTACTCTACCCTGTCCTACCATGCTTATTCTTGTAGTCTTTCTGAACTAAGTTACTGCATTCATTAATTATGTATTGCACTCTCTCATCCTTCTTTTCAGGCATTCTACATCTTCTGTTACTCTGTGTTTTATTTATTTTCGTGTTTATATTATTTTTCTTATGGTATTGGTATTAAAATAACTCTTTTTAGTTTTCTTTTACACAGCCATGTTCATGACAATTTATCTATCAAATCCCTCGAGCTGTTTTCTCATGTGTCCAAATAATTATTTTTGCTCCCATTCTTGTGTTCTTGCTGATGTTTCTCCTGGCTTTCTATTCATTTTTCTCTTTGTTTCAGTACAATCTTTTCTTTCCCTGCATTGACATTTTGTCAAGTCCCTTAAATGCAGAATCAACACAATAGACATCGCTGACTTGTCCCTTTTAGTATAAAACCGTCGACATTGCCTTTCAGATGTGGAAACTTGGAAATTTTCATCAGTTTTCTTGTTTTGTGCCACAAGATTATAAGTAGTTTGCATATTATATTTTTCAGGCAAGTTCTTTGTATCGTCCTTCAGTCAACAGACAAATGATACCATACATGATCTTCATGCCCCCGAAGAGATGCTGCCAGTTGATGCTTGCTTGACTTTCTACTATTCTTTTCATGGTTCTGGAGCATTGGAAATACTTGACAATGGCGTGTCAATGCTGAAAATAAGACCAAATAACATCAATACGTGGCAGAAATCCCAGATCCAACTGAGCCCAGGAAAACACAATATCACTTTTTGTCACATAAATGGAAACTATTCAAACTCGGCGCCGCATAATGTTTTAGGATTGGACAGTATTCACCTTTCAAATGGAACATGTAAATTATTTGGTAAGTACACTTTATTTACTAACGTTGTGAGATTATTCGATATTTGTTTTTATTTAATTATCATCAAAATGATTTCAATGCCTTCATCTGGTTATTCTTCTAATTACATTCACATTTAGTATTTATTATTGACGATTGCAAAGTTGGACTTCAAAACGTTATTTGAGATGCAAATAGTAAACTTGACTTCACTTGAAAGTCAGTGCCATTAAACTTTGGGCACTACTTAAATAAATTGGTTCACTCATAAAAAAGGTAACACTTTTTGTAAAGGTGAATCATTTTTGTAGATTAAAATTTATTAGACTTTGCTCAAACCACAACATTTATTAAAATAAAAAATATTGATTTTTATTGAACTACAATGGTGGGAGTGCTATTCATGATATCGAAAGAGTGTAAAATCGACCTTTGACTTTTACAGAGTTATCTGGACGAAATTGTTATTTACAACTGCCAGGTTTAAAAGTGTGCTTCCATCATTGATAACTGCATATTTGTTTTTAATTTTCTTAATTTTAAAATCTTTTAAAATCTTTCTGGGAGGTGTTGATGTTGATAATAATTAATTATCTTAAATGAAGAATAAACCGAGATATTTATGCAAATCTTTTTCCTTGAATTAAAATTGTACGTATCCGTTTGTTCTTTATTTAAAAATTTATTCGTACGCAGAACAGTTAAGTCCAGATAACTCTATAAAAAGTCAGGAATCGAATGTACACTGTATCTATATTGTGAACAGGAACCCATTTTTAAAATGATAAAAATAATTTTCTATTCCGATAAATGTCGTACCCTAATTAATGTCTAATGGATACTAATCTATCAAAATTAATTGCCTTTAAAATTGTATCTATATTTTATGAGTGAAACAATCTATTTAAGTAGTGCCAAAATTTGAACTGACATTTTGCTCATTAGTAGCTGAAGCTGATTTTTAAAATAGCCTAAAACGTTTTAAACAGCGAAACTGAAAATGTGTTAATACATCAACTTTCAAAAGTATCCATCTGGATTATTCTTAGATACTTTCTTTTACCAAAAGATTTTCGGCAGTTTTCACTGTCTTGATTCACTGAGATTTTTTTCATGTTTCGTTTTGTCAGTTTGAACAAATTCAGCCTGTAATTGTGGAGAAAACTTAAAACAAAAACTATTTTAAAAATATTATATTCTCTTTTTTTTTTCTTTTTTTTTTTCAGAATGCAAAAAACATTGGAGAAAATGTAGCAATTCACCAGTTTGTGTTCCTGAATTTAAATTCTGTGATCACGACGAAGATTGTGCCAACGGAGAAGACGAGCGAAACTGCAGTAAGAGATTTCATTTCAAAACTTATATTCCCCTCCGCCCTCTCCCTCTATAATTTATTAACGGAGGAATCAGGCAAAATAAAAAAATGGAAGACTAACACTTCCGTTTCGCTTTATTTTAAAGACTTTTTTCTTTCTTATTTTTTTTTTTTATTTTTTTCATTCATTCATTTAATTTCATAGATCCAGATAGCGTCTATGATGCATCTTTCTTTCCTTACTATGACAATGGAAGACTACATTATTTTTTTTTACTCGGATGTGGTTAAACAGTGTCACGTACATCGACCATAACAAAATAATTATAGGGAGGGGATATAAACAGTTTAACAACCTGGCCATCTTGGTGTTTCTAAATCATGATAATTGATGACAAGTCATATATTTGAGGAAAAGTTTTCTTTCGTTGAGTATGACAATGGAAATTACTCAGTGTTGATCCCTTCAAGCAGCGCCCGAGGCATGTGCAAGGGCTTAGGATTGTTAGTTTCTAAGGGTTTATCGCAACGGACGGATTACTGAAATGTACCTTAGCAAGACATTACTGATGTCAAATGAATGCAAAATTCTTCCTTTCAAGCTTTGAGAAGAGTCAATAACTTTGATAAGTTTACGTATCTTCTCATTGTCTGAAAGGGATTCGGACACAATTCGGACGCTCAAATCTCTCAAATTTTATAGCTAATCAATATATTAATGACTCTTCTTAAAGTGATAATGTTAAGAAAAGCAACTATACAAGTGATAATCAATCCTTAGTTTAAGTGAATTAAACCATATAATGTTACCCCTACGGTGTTTCTGTTTATTCTTACCTTTTTTTTGTTTCTAAAATGGTTGATTAGTTCGAAAGATTTTATCTATTTAATTTTATTATTATCAAATATTTCCTTATTGCTGGAGTTTGTTTTTTTTACGTGATTTTGTTGCGACAAATTTTGTGTACGATAACAATTTTTATAACTTGGAAATGAATTTGGGAATAATCGAAATTAATTGCAAAATCCAGCGAAAGTCACTCATAAAATAAAAATAATTCTTTATGAGGAAAGTAAGGACCTACGTACATCGAATTGACTTTAAATTAAGTGTCGGCAGAAGAATTATCGTTGAAATTTTAAAAGGTAAGCTTAAATATTATTACAATACTTAAATGGAGCTTACAATTTTGAGTTCTTCTGTAGTTTATTGTTACCTATCGCATCTACTCTTTCCTACCTATTGTGATGAATGTCCAATTAAGTGCCCTCCACAGGCACTAGCTTAAATGCTGACAAGGCGGCTTTTAAGTTACTATATGTATATATGATAAAATAAAGAACAAGTAGGAAATGTATCACAATCAAACATGTTTCACCTTTATTAAGGCTTCTTCGTCAGAGACCGAGAATAGAAATGAAAAAAGGCAAGGAACATTTTGGACGTTAAAGTGTGCGACAGTTTAAGAGTGTGCAAGTAAAGAAGCCTTTGGGCGTCTTCGCGTACGTTGGACGGTAACGTAAATGTAAGTGTATAACAGTATGTTTTAAGGAATGTAACGCGTGTTTGACCAATGAGACCCAACCAAAAATCATAATATACCAGTACTCTGTCGATTTGGGTTTTTTCATTTCTATTCTCGATCTCTGACAAAGCCTTAATAAAAGTGAAACATTACATTGAGAGACGTTTCCTACTTGTTCTTTGTTTTATTTTATCATCTTCTCGGATTTTTATCCCTATCTACATTGTATCTTCAACTCATATATATATATAAATATATGTATATATATATGTATGTGTGTATGTGTCTGTGTGTGTTTGTGAGTGTGTGTGTGTCTGTGTGTGTTTTGTTAATAATAACTGAAAATGTTTATGCGATAGTTTGCTGAAAAAATATTGTAATTTGCACTATTGTATTAGTCGTTGAATTTTTTGCGAATATTGTATTCTTGCTAAGTTCAACTTTAAACTATTGAATATGATTTGAAAGATAGTTTTAAATTACTGTAACGATTGCTTTCCTCTACATATTTTCCGAATCATGCACAATTATGAATACAATAGATTGCATCATTATGTTACTGTCTTATTTTTCAGCAACATATTCTAATGTGCGTTTGGCCAGAGGAAGAAACGTTCAGCAAGGTGACGTTGAGATGTATTACAATGGCCGGTGGAATCTAATTTGTGGATCATGGTCTAGAGAAAATGCCGCTGTTGTTTGCAGAGAATTGGGTTATAAGTAAGTGGAATTCTCCGGTAATTGTAAAGATTATTATGCCATATATTCAGTGACAGCAAATACATTTACAGTACATCGGATATGAATTCAAAATTCACGTCACTGATACATGTGGTCAGATGAAGGCAAAGCACGTAATATAGTCACATCAGGATTATGTAGGTTTTATGATGAAAATGTATATCAACGGGCCAATCAGTCACATTAAACAGACAGTTAAACCCATTGAAACATCTTCACTCACAAGACAAGGTCCATAGCATTAAGAAGCGTTGTCTGGGTTGGTTGACTTGAAATATGATGTAACTTTATCACTTATTTCTGTCTCTATTCTTTAACCAGGATAAATCGAGAATTCGCAATCAAAACAAAAAGAAAAGTCTTGTAATATTTTTCTGTGTGAGTACTACACTAAGATGATCATTTGCTAAAGAATGTAGATGTCGAACTGTTCTTAAATATATTTTATTGCAATACTGACGGAATCTCTCTATTTTTGTAGTGGGACTAATAACTTTGACAAATCTACTCTGACGAAAAATTATTTTAACTCAGCCAAGCTAATATTATATTTAACTGAAGAATGACAGTTGGGTGACTGAATCGTTTTGATAAAACATCATAAAAATGATGATAATATATAATCATCGAATAGTTTATAATTTGCCTCATCTTCAGATTATATAATAAAATCCCAATACTTGACACACTGCAGACTTTCAGATCTTTTTTGAAAGCGAAAAGAAAATTAGTCGAAGTTTTATCCTTAAAAATAATCTAAGTTTACAGACTGAATGTCACAGTTTAATTTCCATTGTTTTGTCGACATCTTTCACTTGTCTACTTAATTTTACTTTCTGATCATGAAAACTGATATCTGAAGTATAATTTTTCATGATTAATCGAGAACTACACTGGACGAACCTCAAGGCTGATATAGAGGCTGTATTCATAGAAATAGTCAGCCAACAGGATTTAAAAGACCACAGAGTTGGGGTATAGTTTTGTGCTAATATTATGGGTAGCAAAACTATAACTAATTTTATCAATTAATTTTGTAGACTTAATATCACACAGTATTATTTCTGTTGTTTTATCGACATCTTTCACTTGTCTACTTAGCTTTACATTTTGGTTGCATGTTACAGATTTTTCTTTTGGAGAATTCTTACAAAATATAAAATATTTTCTAACTTTAAATAACCTGCAAAAGCCGTAGAAAACGAATCCATCAAATCAAAGCAAATCTTTCTTTTGTCATTTTTCTATTCTTATGAATCAAAGCTTAATAGATGATGTCAGTTTTTATTAGGAAAATCAATGTTTTCACACTCAAGTTAATATTAATGAAATAATTTTCATACATTTTTGAACAATAAAAAGAATGAGACAGAAAATACTGGCAAAATAAAACAGAAAATAAAACAGGCTAAAAATGTCAGAAAAAAAGTTATGAAAAAATTTCAAACGTTTATATATGACCAGCACGAAATTATCTGAAGGAGTCAAAGTTGCGGATGTAAACAAAGAGAAAAGATGAAAATACGAAGAACATTGATCAAACATGAATGTAAATAGTCACTTTTAAATAAATATTACGAAGATAAACTTATAATTTAGGTGAAGTAGTACGTGAAGACTGATTTCTCAGCAGAAAATTTTAGTGGTGATTATAGAAACATGAAGGCTAAGATAGAAACTGTTTTTTTTTTTTTTGTTTTTTTTTTTGTGTGTGGAAATAATCAACCAAGCACAAAAGGAAATGGGTAATATTTTGGATTCTTAACGTAGACAGTAAATTTATAAGTTTTATTTAAGTTAATGAACGAATCAAGGTAAATGCAGAGAATTGATTTAGAATTTGGGGCATGACGTTTTGTGAGTAATAAAGATTAAATCAAAAAGATTCAAACTGAAGCATATATTCGGGCAACATAATGTTCCTTCATTTATGCAAAGCTCATTGTTATCTGTGCAAAAAAAGGGTTTCAAATGCGCCAATTTAATGGAATGACCTCACACCTCTCTAGATATTAATCCCATAGGAAATTTGTATTCATCATTAAAAGACGTGTATATTCAAACAAAAGAAAATATTAGGGTGTTCATTGGCTGACTATGACTTAATGATGATATAGCTGTGAAATCTTGCATGCATTAATTTCAACTCCTGTCATTAATTGATTCTTTCCAGATAAACTAATATCTGACTGTTCAAAGAAGACTTAAAAAAAAAAGTAACTAGTAACGATTTCTCTTGAAAATTTAGCATCGTGGTGTTTTCAGGCGTTTACAAAAAAAAAAAAAAGATTTTAGACCGACGCCGAGGATATTCATAATAACATGACTGCAACATTAGATGATGACGCTCCAGTTTTAGCAACAATATAAAAGTGAGCAGGTAAACTTAGGAGGGGGAAGAAGGATCCTTGAATATGACCCAAGATCTGCATGTCTGGCAACTGCCACTGACGAGGAAAACAGTTGATGGATGACAGGCGGTTGACTATAAATGCTATTAGCGTACCCTGTGATAATATTGAAAATATTCTGCACAATGAAATTGGCATGATGAATGTTTCTACTCGGTGGGCGTCACGTTTTCAGACACCTGGTCAAAAACGCACCTGACGGATTACATCACAGGAAAATTTGACATTACGGCAGATGCTTGAACGTTTTCTAACTCAGGATGAGTGTTGGGCTCACCACTTTGAACCAGAAACAAAGAGACATAGATTGCTCTGGAAACATCCCTTCTCAAGGTCGTTTCATGTGCAGGAAAGTTAATGGTCTCATTTTTTTGGTGGGGGGATACTAAAGCCATTGTGCTCATTGGCTATCTTCAAAATGATCATGCCATCAATGGAAAATATTATGCCAACTTCCTGAGGCAGTTATAAAATTCTATCAAGACCAAATGTCCAAGAAAACTGATGAAAGGGATTTTGATCCACCAGGACAATGCTCCGGCACAAAAGTCCTTGGTTTCAATGGCTGATGTGTGTGACTGCGGCTTTGAACTGGTTGATCAGCCTCTCTATTCTTCTGACTTGGCCCTATCATAAAATAACACTTGGCTGGGAAGTAGTGACACAATGATGATGTCATATCTGCTGTAGATGACTTTTTGACCAACAGGATGAAAGCTTCTTCATCAGTGGGATCCTACCACTGCAACACCGATGGATGAAGTGATTGCAAGGGTAACTATGTTGAAAAAAGGGTCATTATGCTGAAAAATAATTGTTTGGTCACATTCTATGAGAGTATTTTAGGCAGCATATGAAATTTTCAACTGATCCTTGTAAAATGAAAGAAATAAAAGTAAGAAATAAATCTAATAAAACTGTTAGGAAACGGATAGTTTCTCTTTCATATTCTTTGCCACAATTCTTCTTCGGGTTTAGCTTAATTTGGTGTCACAAGCAACACTCGCCAGCAGGTAGGTTAGGTTTAAGGGTACAAGTTCTCTACCCAGGATTCCTCCACGGGACAATTAGCTGTGGGTTGAAGCGTTGGTTCGTGGATTTAGTGATATAATAATTGTTATTTCAATCCGTTACAATTGGGGCAGCGTGTTCTTTGACTAAAAGATGTGTTTTGCAAAATAATTACCAACAGAATATATTTTATAAAATCATAAAGAGCATTTCATTTATTTGGTGTTTTATTTTATATTTTAACAGTGAATCGAGAAATACTTTCAGAACGAAAAATTGGCTTTACGAAAAGACATATATAAGTCGTATTTCCTGTAGGGGATATGAAAGATCGCTGAAAAGCTGCGGGAAAAGCATTTGCTATAGCACTTGTAGATGTTCTGTATATGGAGCAGTTGACTGTTCAAACACACGTAAGTTCAATGCTATCTTAAACCAAAATCTTTTAAAGAATAATGATTTTAGCATATATCTACTCGGACTTATTCAAGATTATTATTATTATTATTATTATTATTATTATTATTATTATTATTATTATTATTCTGATTTTCTGTTTATTAAAATAATTTACAACGCCTTATACCGGAGACCTGATGTAATAAGCATCAAACTTCACACGGTCTTATTTAATATAAACAATATGGTTTTTATTTCTCGAGTTCAATCACCGATGTGTTAACGGATATTACTGAATTTGTCTATCAGGATTTAGGTAAGAACGGGTTATGGCGTTATATATCTTAAAGGATTTCAGCTGGATTTAGTATGCGGGTATCTTCCAAAGGCTCAATATCTATGATGTCTCTGGTCGAATATCAGTTGTCAACGGAGGCAAAAAATGACTTGTAAATTTTAACGCTCCAAAACAAAACTGCTATCATTTAATCATCAAAGAAAACCCATTCTGCTTTTCAAGCAATACACCTAAGCAGAGTCCTTTTTATTTTAGATAATATTGGACTTTGTAAATTTCATATATTGCAATTTCTTCACATAACTTCTTTATAATACTTTATATTTCATTTTATTCTTTTTTCTTCTTTTTTTTGTCAATCGTAGTGAGTGAGGTGGATCATTATTTGGGTTTATCTGTTGAACCATGTCCGATGTTAGGCTTCTACTTATGAATTTTCATAAACTGATACATGGGTGTATGTTAACGAATTATTTTACAGCACAATTCCTTCATTTAGCTTTACCATTATAAAGCAATGAAACTTGCATTTCTGACAACTAGAAAAAGTAACCTATCAATTTTCTCTACACCTTTAAACTTTCTATTGACGGCACCTCCACTTCAGGTTGATATTTTAGTTGTTACAGAGGATGTACTCGTTCAGACTCACTTCCCAAAATCTGACCAAATAACCAAAGAGAGAGAGAGAGAGAGAGAGAGAGAGTGTGTGTGTGTGTGTGTGTGTGTGTGTGTGTGTGTGTGTGTGTGTGTGTGTGTGTGTGTGTGTGTGTGTGTGTGTGTGTGTGTGTGTGTGTGTGTGTATTTGTTGGTGGAGGGAATTTGACAGTGTGTTTCAGTTAATAGAAGTGGTTTGTGTTCATTTTAGATTAATGCACTTGGGAAAAGCAGGAATCCATTTGTTCCTCACCAGTTACGTGTATGTTGGACCCCTTTAGATGCGTAAGTCGGTTTATTTTGGGTATCGGCTCTAGTCTCCGCCCCAGGCCCTGTAACAGTTCAATTATTCTGAACCTGTAACAGCACCACTTTTTGTGGTTGCAGTTTTCTGTTCAGAGAAGAAATCAACAGAAATAAACAAGATAGGTTCTTGTGATATAAGGAACTTAATTAAATAAATGTTATAGCGTCTAACTTAAACCGAAATGACATTGAAAAAAGGCTGAATGAAAATTCTAAAATAGTCTATATCGGATCTTAAAGATTTATAAGTACACTTGGAATTCTTCTTCTCATTATTATTATTATTATTATTATTATTATTATTGAGTGAGGTAGCAGTTGGTCATCGAAATGATGCTGGAGTACAAATATATGAAGTCAAATATGCCCATCTAACTTCTAGTCTGATAAGGCTCTACTAGGCTGATGTACGTAAGATAGAGACAGGTTTTGACAAAAGCAGTTCATAGCGTTGCAGATGAGGCCCAATTAAAAATACCCTCAGATCAGGTATCTCAGTCCGCTCAAACGATCAGTAACGATGAGTAAGGGTGATCCCAAGTATCCAGATGAGACTCCCAAGTTGCTTTGGCTGCTTCATCTTTCAAGCTTAAAAATATAAACTCTCTCGACACCCAATCAAGATGCTCTATCTCTATTTCTGCTCATGAACAGAGATACAATGTGCTTCGGCATCTCGAGATCGTGTCCATCTGCTTGAAGTCAAGCAAGTGACAAACGAATCAGTGGTACTGAACGAGATATTTAGCTGATCTTAATTCACCAAAACAAAGAATATAAATGTTAACAAATATATAAACAACATATAAATGCTATTAATTATATTAGGGTGAAAGGGTCTTTGTGAGTATGTAAGCGGTGCACACAGACATTGACTTTTGTTTCTCAGATTGGTTTTTGTTGGTCTCGTATATAGTAATATATTCACATAATCTCTTTATAATCCCCTCTATTCTATGTTATTCTTGTTTCTTTTGTGTCTTTAGTCATAAATGATAAGTAAGGTGGACTATTACAATTCAGATTAGAAGCCATGAGAATCTTGCTTATTGTAGATTCTGCTTTCTGCTACTACAAGACTGAGTTGAGGCCATTACTCGATGCTTAGGGTGAGGCAAGGTAGTAAATATATACATTCCGTTTACACAAATTCTAATGTTAAGTAATATTTAACATGCATTTGGTTTTTGTTTCCTTTACATTGTTAAAATTCTCTTGAATAGATGAGTAGTTAAACAGAGAGAGATTTTTTATTTAATAAACGAGTGCTGATTCATGTTAAAGTGTTTTTCTGAGCTTTTGTTGATCATACCTACGTCCCCAATTATTATAAGGAGTATAGAGGGAGAAGCGGTTTTATGCCTTTTTCTTGGAAATAAATCCTAAATGAATGACGGAGTGATGCATAAACGCACTTACGCATATACTTATATACTTATATAGACTTATATACAAACACACACTCAAAATAGATACACACGTTATTTTAAAAATATATATATATCTGGCTAATGCATTCCACTAACCCTAAAATACCAAAATATTTTTTCGTTTAATTTCATGCACAGAGATTATTAAAATTATATATTTTACTTAGAGTAAAGGAATCATTTTAGCATCTAAGTTATACCAGTAGTATATTTTGTTAAAGGTTGTAGTGATCCCGACAAACATAGATGACCTAGTCACTAATGATATTAATTTGTGAGTCCTTCAGTTTAGAGTCTATATTAGCCAAATGAAAAAATACTCATATTATAAGACCACATGGTCACCGCCAGACATCGTGACTCTCTCTAAAAAATTACCCATTTTATTGGTTTGTTTTCTTTTGAAATTTCTGTTCCTTCTGTCGATCATCTTCATATTATAATTTAACAAAACAATTCAAATGATAAAACACTTCCTCACAATGATTGCCCCCTCTCTCTCTCTCTCTCTCTCTCTCTCTCTCTCTCTCTCTCTCTCTGGTGAATATGCAAAGAAACAGAAAAAGTGTTTGTTATAATTTTTTTATTGCAATTCTTCACCTTTGTCTTCGTGTGCCTCTTTTTTCAGCTTGTGAATCAACTCATGTGCCTTGTGTAGCAACGAATTCTAGCAACACTACAAGTAATCCACAATGTATATCGAAAGAAAGTGTATGCGATGGTGAGAAGGACTGCCCTGGTGGAACAGATGAACAGTCATGCAGTAAGTTTTACGTTCTATTCTTCTATAACAATGCTACCTTGAATCTTACTTTATTCTTCTTCTTAAAGTCGTGTCTTTTAAAAACGGATGGAATCGTAGCTCTCTAAATTTTCTTTTCAGTATCTGAAAACAGTACATTTCCATGATTTTTCTTAGGAAATACCTTTCTAATAAACTACATGCTTTGTGTACATAGATTTCTATATATATATATACAACGATAAGTAAATATATCTCAATTAATGTCTGCTTATTAGTGCCCCTGGTTTAGAATTACAAACGGGGCGATTTTTGAAAGCTTCGCTCACTTTTTCTCCGACCGTGTGATCGATAACAAGTTTTTCTACTTCTTACAACATAACTGGCATGTAAATAATTTGTTATTTCAGAAACACCAACTGATGTGTGTGTATAAACATTCGACAATTTCAAACGATGAAGTTCTTTTTTTTCTTGTATAACGATACAAAAAACATCGATTCCCGTATGATCACTGAAGTTAAGCAACGTAGGGCCTAGTCGGGTTACCGCTTGGGAACACCAGGTACTCTAAGCTTGGGTGTGCGGGTGGTATAATGAATAATGGATCGGAATTTTTAATTGGGGAGCCTAGTTCCAATTCCCGTTGGGTTCGTCATATTCACTTACACAAATATACTCTTAGGAAAGGTAAGAATACACTTCATCTCCACCCAGCTATGGGTTAATTAGTAAAGCTTGTACCAATAAAACCATTATTATCTACAAAAAGTTCTTACAATCTAAATATATATTCTGTCTTTAAATAACCTGCAAAGGAGGTTGATAAGCTGTACAAAATGAATCAATAGAAAATATTAAAAAACACTAATAATGCAGTAAGCATGCGCGCACACACGTGTGTGTATGCGTGTGTGTGTGTTTGCATGTTGTGTGTTACAATTAACAGTTTTGAATCCATGAGTTGCTCTTTCTTTTTATTATCAAATATAATGTTGAATTGTTCTATCACACTAACGATCGATGTTTTCCTTTTCATTACACATTGTGTATTTATTTACCCGATCTCATATGGGTCTGTAAAATATTGTTTGCAAGAAAGATCATACCAGAATTCATAAAAATGACTATTCATCCAGCCCCGTAATATGTCTACTCACATAAGTGAATGTTACCAAAACACAAGCCTGGTTTAATTTGTTCCGCTCTTGTACCAAGATAAGTAACATATAGTGAAACCCTTGACGGCACACATACTGTAAGGATCATAGTATTAGTTGTCTCCAAGGCTTTCGACAAGGTGTGGCACAAAGGTTTGCTACACAAGCTCTTCAGCTATGGAATCACTGGAAGGGTTTTCTCTATTATAAAATCCTTCCCAACAAGTAAATCCCAGAAAGTAGTTATTAACGGCCAGTCCTCAGAAGTCCTGGCAGTCAATGCAGGCGTCCCCCTGGTGTCACTTCTCGGACCAACCCTCTTTCTGATTTACATAAATGATCTACCTAAGAATATACACCGATCATTTGTAAACGTCTATGCTGATGATACGACAATATACAGGCGCAACTCTAAATGTCTTGATGATCCTAGATTGGCAGCTGATCTCTCTTCCGTTCTAACACTGTTTTTCAGTAACAGGAGCGTGGATATGGCGTCTGAAGAAAAGGTGAATCTGTTCGTTGAAAAACTGGCTGGTTACATTCAATGCCTCTAAACCAAACTGGTTACTTTCCATCACCGCCGATCAGACCCTGAACTACCCCCAGTCACTATGAACGGATGTCCTCTCGAGGAGACACTGTGCCTTGATAGGATATTGAGCCTCAAACGCACACGTGACCTCAAGTCGAATTCTCATCGCTAAAAATGCAGGTGAAATGATCAGCTCCCTGTACCTGACTCCTTTACCTTTATGAGCCAGATCAGGCCCAAAATGAAGTAATGTTGCCATATTTTGGCAGTAGCTTCCCAGACCCCACTTTCCAGTTTGATAGAGTTCATAAGTGTCTTCGAGTCCTTGTTGGAGAAGAATTATTTTCCACATTCCAGCCTCTTTCTCACAGGCGGGATGTGGCGCGTCTCTCACTGCTCTATCGCTACTATGATGGAAAGTGCTCGGATGAACTGCATATCCTGTTTCCACCAGGTTTGACCTTTATGACTAAGATCCGCCATGCCACTTACATAGAAACTACCCGTATTCCCTCCATATTCCATCGGCAAGAAGTAAGTTCAGCGAACCACCGCTGTATGTAACAGACTCTCAAGAGGATGTTTCCCCAATCACTACAATCTTAACGTGTTCAAATCTAGAGTCAACCGTTATATCCTCTTATCCATATAAACTATCTCTTAATTTAACCCTCTGCCTCAAGTGGTTCTCGGGCCTTGTACAAGGTGAACCTTACTGTAAAAAAAATCTATCTATTGCTCGTGTACGTACCCTTATATATTTATACAAGGATATGTAAGAAAAAACAAACAATTATATTTAATATCTATTCTGATGTTCAAAAAATAGAAAAGCTCCTTGTAGAATGGATTCATTATAAAAGGAGAATCGTTAATGCATGTTGATTTCTCAATATGCACTGGATGATAAATTTACATTTTTACGTCTGATTTATACCGTTTGATTTTATAACGTCAAATATTCACCAAGTACATTTTCTAATGATGAACATTAATCATCTTTTTCTTTTAGCCAAATGCAAAGCCAATGAATTTCAGTGTCTTAACTATGAGTGCATTCCACAGAACAAACGTTGTGACGGAATTAACAATTGCAAAGATGGATCTGACGAATATCATTGTTGTAAGTATTGAAATGAATAAACAAAATTATATTTAGAGATTGTTGAATTGAACTTATTCTTTATATATCCCATTAACACCGGAAGCTACCAAGAAAATCTTTTATTGTCGAAGAAAACTGTAAGCTGTAACCCATTGCTATTTGAACTCTGGAAATCTTCAGCTAATGATTCTAGAAAATCGAAATTGAAGTTGGTTGTTAAACGCAAGTCCATCGTTATAGTGTTTTGAGTTGAGCGGTGTTCTTAAATCAAGGGGATAACGAATAATAATTTGCACACTAAACTAAGCTCCTATCATTTCCATATGGAGGGATGCAAATTATTTTTCGTGGGTGTATAGCCCCTCCCAGCCTCCATCCTAAGTGAGGGTCTTGATTAAACGTTTCGAGTAACCTCAGAAGGTTTGATAAATAATGACAACTAAATATTGTCCCTTTTTTATTTCAGTCAAGCATGACAATCTCACTTTGTCGTTCATGATGAACGGAAGGTACACCCCTGTATGTGAAGATAATTTGAAAGAGCAAGACATTGCCAACAAACTTTGCCATTACGTTGGAAAAGGGTAAGCATTAAAATTAAATCACATAGACACGGTTTTGTAACATAAAATTCAAATACAGTTTCTATTCCATTTGTAAACTTACAATGGAACCAGTTGTCCATTGACCGGCTAATGACTATCTTATGTTGTGTCTTCCTTTATCTAGTCCATAAAAATTATAACAAAATTATTCAAGTTAAAATCATTAGGACATAAAGTGATTTAAGAAGAAAAATATGCTAGCATTTTTTCTTAACTAGGCTCGCTTCTTGCATTGTGAGAATAAATTTCATTTATCCACAAATTAAAGAACAAAAAGAAGAAAATATCAGTCTATGAGTGAAATGTATAAATGTTTGATTGCGCCAATTCGATGATGACAATATATTTGACTATCTTTTTTATTATTTAAAAAAAACTCATCGTCCTTTCATTATAATTTGTGTTTCTTTAACACTCACTGGAACCGTCAGTAGCCAACTGGTTCTGTTGGCTGGGAATTAGAATACGCCGATTCTACCCTGTGCAGAGAGGTAAAATTCTACTCTGCCTAAAAGAGACCGTCCACATGGAATGGGTGGAAAGCGGTAAATTCTAATGACGATATGCTGGCGATTTTCTGACTTTAGTTGGACTTTAGTTCTTAGTCTAAGAGTCCCAATGTCACGCCTAAACACACACATCTGTCTGTCTATCTATCTATCTATCTATCTATCTATATATATATATATATATATATATATATATATATATATATATATATGTCTTTGTGTGTATAGTCAAAGACGTGACTTCTTAAAATTCTTCTGAGGTGAAAATCCAAGGATTCAGTACTGTAGGGAATTGTCTAAAAACATACGAAGGCTTGACTCAAGTTTTAAGCATGGAATTGGGTAGGCGAAAATCTTCGAAAGCGGCCTATGGTTGTGCTAGCATGAAGTGACAAAGTGACAGACGCCATATTAACGCTTCTATTACTAAAAAACAGGAAAATGACAAACCCATTACTGCTGAACAAAACTGATTCCATCTCAGAGAAAAATAAAAGCGTTATCCGTTGCTAGTTGTGCAGTCATATTGACATCGTTGGCAACGAAAGCTGATGAAATAGTTAAGGAAATCTTTAGACATGAGTCTTTCAAATACCAAGTGGTCTGAAAAGTTATCACATATTTCTGAAAAAATGCCGAATCTCCAGTGTGTATAACATACCAAAACCATACAGAAAAAGATGAACCTATAAACTGTCGCGAAATTCATTTAAAACATTGTCAGACAACTTAGAAACTTTTTTAAAGAGTCAAATCAAACAATATATTAACAATTTCTGAAAGGAATCAAACTATATCTAAAAATATATACAAACTATCTACAAAAATATAATATTTTACAAATATAAAACACTTATGCATTTAGGTCACTGCTTTAAAAGAATCCCAGGAGACTCCACGTACTTATTACAAACTGAAATGCCTAAACACAAATTATCATTAACATATGCCATTATAACACAAAATCTCCTATACAATAGGAAACACCTTAAACCCTTTCAAATATCCAATATCTAGCATTAATAACGTAACTAGATTGGCATGCATTTGAACAAAATAATCCAATCCAAACATTAGTAGCAGAAAACCTTATTTCGACTAACTCTAACTGATGACATTTCCATCAATTAAGTTAATCTTTAATATAACATCAGTCCCTTTCTCTCCCTATTCTTTCGAATAAAGTCAGTGACTACTATCGACCAGCCTCAGGCCACAACAATCTCTTACTTTATATACTTTTCGGCAATAACTTTGGTAAGTTATTTTCTGTGTGATTGCAATCATATAGAATGCTTCTAAATTTTACAAAACATAAATAAGAAATAAATATTTCTTTTTAAAAGATGTAAGGAAGGATTTTCATTTTTAGTAATGAGCTAAAAGGTTAGACACTTTTTAAACAACATAGTTTATCGGATAAAATGCACATAATTAAGTGTTTAAAAAACGAGATATTCTTAACTTTCGATCTCAATATAACCACATATATTTGGTGATATATAAGCTTAACGTAAAATAAATATTTTTTTATCTTGTTTTTAATTTGAACAAAACAGTTTTTTTTTTTCATATTTAAGGCATTTAAAGCGACATATCAATGAAAAACCTTAACCAATAACGCCATTAATAGCAGTCTACCAAAATACGTTGTTTTCTATAAACTCATTATTATAACTTTTTGCATTAAATGCTTCCGTAATTCTTAACTTTTACAAGTTGTTTGTTTTCTTTTTGATCAGGAGATGTGTATCTGTTAGCAAACTTTGTGTCTAGAAAATTACAGTGTTTACATTTACACTATTTAAAAAGGGGGTTTTCTTAACAATAGCAAAAAATATTATTATTATTATTATTATTATTATTATTATAGGGATGCTTCAGTTGGTTGGTCCAACACTCAAGGGACTGGAGTTAAATTTTCATTTTCAGCAGATGCCAAACATTCTGTATTGCCAGGCCTCAAACCTTCCCTTGCGTAAGTACTTATATTTATTTATAAAATGCTGAAATTTAATGAATTCATTCTCGTAGGATTTACTCAATAATAATTGTTGCATTGTGTCTTTGGTTTAGAACCAATGAAGAAAACGTCCATTTTAATTAAGTGTTATCCTGAATAATCATTTTTATACTGTTTTATTGTGCTTCCATGTAAATATTGTCTGAAACAATCATCTAAGGAGAAATAACACTTTATAGAGATGCAAAATGTTATCTCCCTTAAGTGGAAATAGCCACGTGACGACCGTTTAGTACCGTCACTTCATACAGCGACGAAAGTAGTCAGTCCTACATACAGTTAGAAATCTTTTAGCACCCAAGTCAAACAGATGCTTTTCTAGCACGGACGGAGCCCTTGTCCCGCTCGGGCGTAGGCCTCATTGAACCACCCGCACATGGGTACAGCGTACAAGCCTATGGCGCCGTTTTAGGGTCAAGGTTAGCGTTATATAGAAAATATCTCCTGCAGTTCCATTTCCCGTTGTGAATTATTATGTAAGACCATCTTTTTGTTCTCTTTTAACTCTGTTTGTTGTGTGGGGAAAAATAAATCGTTTTTCCATCACTTAAACATTATATTGTAACTTATTTGACATGTGATATTATTAGTACCCCATTAATTTTATAGTAACGCTTCAGGCCTCCAAAATATACATCCTCAATTTTCGCTTGTGAACTTCGAAATTCTTTTGGGCTCTCTGCAGCTGGCTGGTAACTCTGTACTTTCTCGCCTGAATGTTTAGAAGCTTTCTTCTTGATGTCAAATGCCATCTGGAGTTATCTGCTCAAAAAGTTCCTTTTAATCAAAAAAAGATAACAAAAGTCTACATCCAAGTTTTCACAAGGGCTTGAGACCACGTCTCTCATTGGCCAAAAAATACGGAAAATACTTTTTCACAAATTCAAAATGAATCCTTAACAATTTTGGCGGTTTTAAACATTGAGCTTAAAATGTAATATCAATCGTTTTCTGACACCTTAATTCGTCTTTTTTTATTGGCCTCTCTCCTTAATAACATTTTTATAGATTCTTTCTTACTCAATAACCCCTTACATCTTAGTGGCTTTATCACTTTGCCTGGGGGTGAAATGATAAAAAGTCCATCAAGCAATAAACTTTGTAGATTCTGCTCTTTAATTACTACATGAAAATCTTCAGTCCAAACCATTGCTAATGATTCAAATATCACAAATGTTTGAAATTAGATATTTATTACATACTATAAAGACAAAGTGAAAATGAAATTATTTCGCGCAGAAAATTTCCCTTGTGTCAATGGTTAGCAAACTAACCAAGTAGAGACTCTTATGGTTGTAATGAGCTCGATTCTGACTGAATGCAATAGTTGTGGCCTTGTGCCAGACTAAAATAAGCATACACATATTGATTCTTCTATAAAAGATAGGATTACGATGTGCAACAGTTTCATTTAACTCGGATTTTTCAGCCGATAACATGGATACAAAACGAAAACAATGCTTTACCGGTAAAATAATTAAAAGGAGTTAACTCAACAAAATGAACTTTGAATATTAATTTCTGAAAAAGAAGTTACTATAAATTGAATTCTGTACAATTCACTTTAAACATTAAGACATTACACTAAAAAAAAAACAAATTTAATGACAAATATTGCAGGGAGTCTGTTACACAAACATTAGCAAACGATTTTCAATAAGTTTAGAATTGCCTGGCACATGGCCAAGCTTGTGAAATACTTGGTGAACAACACTCACCAGTAATAAAGCAATGGTCTGTGAAATTTGGCTGCGAAGCATCATTCTATGATAAGCATCTGAACCTTTATTAATGTTATATTTGTTTGGAACAGGACAACTATAGACAGGACAATGTAGACAGACCTCACTATGCAGGTAAGAATTAAGCTTGAAGAAATATCTGTAAGTATTCATTATGCTTAACATAGTCCGGCACAAGGCCACAATTACAGTATATTCGTGAAGATGCAACTCACTATATTAGTCAAACTGTTTTTTACATCATCGCTTTAATCCAGTAATCCATGAAATTATATTTATTTATATAAGATATATTAATATATCTTGATATCATATGGTTTTTCAATTAGATCGAATTGTTATTCATATCTTGAATATAACATGATAAATATTTTTCATATTTATGTTCAGGATTAAATCAATTTACTTTATTTCAATGTATGTTTGGTAATTAATATTGTAGTTTGTTCGGTTATGTTGTCGGTGGACATGACAACCGCTTATCACTTTTTTAAAAGACGAAATAATTTCTGTGCTGGAATTTTTTTTATTTCCATTGTGGTAGTCATCAGATAACCCAGTATACTGTTCACCTTGGTGGGTGTGAAGTAGTCCATTAAGCCTTGCTTTGTTTCCACTTCTGTACTTGTAAATGGTCATTGAATAATTGAAAAAGTTCTTGAAGTTGATGCGAATCCCAAACTGTTGCTAGACACTCAAGAGTAGCAGTGAGTTGTTTATGCAAGCCAATCAACGTCACTCTTCTATATCAATCTTGGGTGACAGCGGAGGCGTCAAATGTAGTTCTTGCAAGTTACAATTTTTCACTTTATTTCTGTTTCGCTATAGTTCAATTTTTGTTTTTCTTTCACATGTTTTTTTTTTATTATGCCATAACATCAATAACCAAGAAAGAACCACCGAATCATTTTTTGTTTAAAAATGATTTTCTTTTGTTTTGTAGCCCATGCACACTATTAAGTCTGAATTGTAGCCGCAGAGGTGAGTACGAAACGTTCGTCTATTTTATTCAGTTTGTAATAATATGAAGATCCTGAATGATTGTTTTATTTGTTCGAGCATTTAGATTTTCCCTTTGCGAAACGATAGAAATTGTACCAATAATACCAATATAATATTTTTTAATCATTTCACCCCAAGCAAGATGGCAATGCCACTTTTACAAAGGGGGTTAGAGAGAGTGAAAAAAGAATGAGAAGACGAAGAATAGGGAGGACAGAGGGGAGAGAACAGGGTTCAAGAAGACAGAAGTTATCGATTGACGTTGCATTTAAATTTTTGAGGGTTGTAGTTATTAGAGTAGTGAGTAAATGAAATGGATTCCCACGAGTGGGAAGTGCGAGAAATTAAACTGTTGGAGTAGAAGTGGCGGTTGCATTTAGCTATTAAGCCTAGTTACCAATCAAGTAGCACGCTTAAATTCATATAATCAGGGAAGCAGGGAAAAAGCTTTTCGGAAAAGTTGCCATGAAAATATTTGTAGAAAAGACAGAGGGAAGCTACATCGTGTCGGTGAGAAAGTGACTGAAGTCGAGATGTATGATCAGGATCCTACCCTTCGTTGGATTATCAAGAATCTCGAGATGTACAGCAGGAGCACCAGATCACATATGATAACAGTATTCAATGCACGGATAAATTATAATTTATAAATATGCAAGCTGGATTCTGAGTTGAAAATGTTTTGACACGACACAGTGAACTAACTTTCCTTTCAATAGACGTAGAACTTGTATCAACATAGTCGCTACAATTCGTTTTAGTGAAAAACGTGAGAAAAAAGGCGTAGTGTGTTGCTCCTGAGAGATTAAAGAATTAATATTAGTTTGGAAAGTGTTCCAAGTGGAATGATTCCACGCTGCAGAAATTGGTACGAATACCACAAATGTTGGAGAAAGAGAGATTGAAGGGTTTAGATGTTTTTGTTGAGCTGGTTTAGTTTTATTTTGTAAGTTGCTGTTAGTCATGTCGCGTTATTTAGAGTAGAAAAAGATCAAGATAATAGTAGCCGTTGGTTGTCTACAGTAATATGTGCTGGCTAGGAATTGGCGCAGACTACAGTATAGTGTGATCTCGGGGTTTCCCACAGGAAGTCCTTGCAGGAACACTTTTTCATGCGCGATTTATCACTGCAAGAACCCTGATATTATACTATTGTTTATCCGAGCAGCCACTCTAGACGCTACCCAAGAGTCCGGGTTCCTAACTACCAGTCAGGATACAGCAACAAGAAAACTGCCAACTTGGTACTCTCAGTATGAAGAGGCGTAGCCACCATCCACTCATATCACCAAAGATTCTTGACAGTAACCATTATTAAGTTCTCAGAAGGAAACTGAAAACCCCATCCTAAACAGGAAACAAGGAATGAGCCTCTACTCCTGTTCAAAAGAAGTGGGAGGAGTATGGATCGGGCGATAGGAAGACATATTTGTTCTTATAAAAAAAAAAATATCTGTTGAGTTTTAACTTAGTATAAGTTATTCTGGTAATGAATCCATTATCAGAATAACATTGGGTGGATAATTAAAATCGTATGAAATGCCTCTGATCACTCCTTGGCTCAGCATTTCAAGTTAAGTATCGTCTTAGAATATCATTCCAGATAACTTATTTTCAAAATGCCAAAGTTTGTCGTGCCAGGATATATTCACTTTTGGCTATTTTCATTTAAAATTCTTCTAATCTTTTTTGGACTTTTGGGCCAAGGGTGCTAATCAATTTCGCGTGTCATGAAACATTACAACCCTCTGTTTTCTCTAAAGCAGCAGAAGAACTGATAAAAATGTGGACAATTTATATATTAAAATGATACAATTGTTAATGTCAGTTAGCTTAGTAAGAACACGCTTAAAAAAAATAATAATAATAATACGGAAGTATCCATGATGTTTATAACATTACAAAACCATTAGAGATTTTAAAATGTCAACAATGTACAAAAGAAGAGCATTTTGTATCGACAAGAATTTAAACGTGAATTGGTAAAATTGCTCCAGGTATCAGTCCGAATGTCTAATAAAGTGCAAAAATTAAAAAAAAATGTTAATAATAGCCTTGCCCTTCGTTTTCATTTGACCATAATTGTTCCGATTTCAGATGTCCGTCCCAGTATCTAGTTTCAGATATAAGTTAACAGCAGTTATCAATTCTGAATTTTAAAGGATGCTGGGTCATTAGAACAATAAATGAACAAGAATTAAGGAGACAGAATGTAAATGATTAATACTGCATCTAATTTTTTGAAGCATGAAGATGGGAGAGAGTTCTACAAACGAAAAGTGCGATTGAAGAAACTGTTAACATAGAACTTACGGTTACATCTAGCAATTAAAACTGTAAAATGATGAGACCTTGTCAACAATATAGTACTGTGCTTAAATTCTTAAAGGCTGTGTATCACAGAGGAAAGCTTATCAGAATATTTATCATGAAAGTATTCATAGAAAATAGAGATATCCAAAGCAACAACCAGAACTTCACTATTTTTATCTAAAGCTTGATAGACTCTTTCAGCAATAATTTTTGATACATCAGCAGTTGACCATGAGAAGCGAAATTTGTGTTGCTTATATGAATGAAGAATCTATGAGGTGAGATGCTTAATCAATTCAGGGTATTCTAGCACTTTGCCAAAAAGAGGTAGAAGGCTATTGGACCCATAGAAAGATCAAACAGTTCACTTGAATTCTTAAAGACTGAAACCACAGAAGAGGATTTCCAACAAGTAGGAAAACAAGAAACAGTAAGGTATTTACTGTAGAGGTGAGTGAGGACAGGAACCAGTTCATGAGCATATTTCGAAAGGTCTATTTTAGGGATACCCTCAAGTCCACATGCTTTGTGAGGATCTAGTTTAGAGATGAGGGCAGAAATCTTGGACGGAGTTATATTTATATAACTTAATAGGAATTCAATTCTAAGTGAAAATTCAGATAAAAAATACTCCAGATGAGTCAAGAGTAGAATTTGAAGAGAATTTACGATCAAAATATTCTGCTTTATCAGAATATGTTAACACCTCAAACTGAGTAAAACCCCACAGAACCACCAGCAGTTAACACATAGAGCTGCCAGTAGAGGCTATACGGTGATTTATTCTACCATCAAACAAGGAATTCGCCTTTTTGAGGACACGTTTATAATTATTGCTATCAGACATAAATAGGCGTCTGTTGTGATCGGAGCTACCACGCTGGCGCATCCGGAAATGTGATTTCTGTGGGCTATAACGGCTGAACAGGCTAGGGTGAACCAAGAAGAAAATTGTGGTTTCACCTGATATTTAGGTACAAAAGCATCAGTTCCGGCTTTAACTCAATTAGACACTTCTGCGTTACAATTCTCAATATGAAGGTTAAGAATATCAATCCAAGGGCGTCTCGAATAAAGATACGAAATATTAGTATCCTTAACTTCAAACAGGATTCTGCGGATTAAAATTAACATCTTTTATTAGGGTATTTGTGTATTTCAAGGCAGTACCATTTCTCTACCAGTACAATAAAAACCAAGTTTGTCATTTAACATTAGATTATTCCAACCGGTGTAGTACACCTTTACTATTCCCTAACATTCCTCAACCTAAACATGTCTCTTCTGCAGACTTTTATAACTTTTCATTAATCAATGACTTTGTAGTGCTAAATAAACATATTACTTATAAAGGACTGACGGTCGTGTTGTGGATGAAGCAACGACCATGGTTTACTTTTAAGTGTACAAAGGAAGAAGTATAGATAAAGTAGGTCTCAGTATAAGAATTAAGAAAGGCAAACTCATATTGAAATCATTCAAGTCTTTTGCGACAAGTAATAGTTTTATACAGAAATATTAAACTAGCTTACAGGCGGGGGGGGGGATTAATTTGAAGTCTTAGAAGTTTGTAAAAATTTGTAGAAGAAAAATGAGCATAACTGAAAGTTCTTATGAAAAGTTCCGTTTGGAGAGTGTGAATTTCTTTGAATGAATGCTAATGCGAAAAATGTATTGTTCTGTCTTGTAGTGTGTGACACGTGTAGTCTGAAAGATATGAATAATCTTATGTACGGAGTTAATGAAGAAAATTATTGTGCTTTCTCTATTTATTGTCTCAGACATGCTTAGAGTTTTAAATTAATGAAAACTAATGTTTGATTGGTTCTAAATTGCAAGTTGAAAATTTAATATTTTATCTAAATTTTGTGTAGTGTGACCCCTTCTACACACCATGAGCTGATCTATTTTTAGACTTGACGAAAGCATCTTGTTCTAAGACTGATTAAATGTGAAGGTAAGATAATGCGTTCTTGTGACATTTGGAGGTACGACAACTTCATGGCCAGATGCATAAAAATGCTCCTATGGATCGGTTCCATCAATGTTGTTATATTTGGTTTCCATCTCTGACAGATTTTGATTGCTGTCTGTTTTTCTTTGTCAGTTTTCCTCCATGTTTCGACTTAAATTCTCGACTTTTTCGGTTCGGATCAGTTGTATTTCATTTGCAGACGAAACATGGGAAACTGAAGTGATCTCCATACTTCTACTTTTGTGTACCGTGTCTCTTCAGGACATAGGCAATCATGGCTCTCCACATCTTTCTGTCCCTTGTAGCTCTTAATAAATTTTGTGTTTTTGTTATTTCTTCCAGACTCTGTTCTACAATCCATTTGCTCAAGCCCATTAAGTATGTCATGCGTTGCTTTCCCCTGTCCCTCTTTCCGTCCTGTGAGTATCAGATTTTCCAAGCTTTCTTTCCTTATTACGTATACCAGAAATGTTAACTGCCTCTTCCTGATGCTAAGTATAAATCTCCTCTTTGTTTCCATTCTCTCCAAAACGTCGTCGTTGCTAACATTTTCGGTCCATGGTATCCGTAGCATCCTTCTGTAGAAGCACATTTCTGTTGCTTCAAGTCTCTTCTTCATCATTCGCTGCCATACAGGAGGACAAATACCACGTAACAGTTAAGTACTCTTTTCTTTGTTTCCAACGAAATTTTCCTGTCTCTTAGTACTCTGCTTAGCTTTAGGAATGCATTCTTGACCATCCCAATACGTCTTCGGATCTCAGTATCGCACTTTCCGTTCTCTGTTAGAATGCTTCCCAGCTAATTAAATCAGCTTGATTTTAATATCCCTGACCTGTAATTTTCATTTTGGGCTCATCTTTTTGCTGATGACCATGCATTCTGTCTTCTCATAGTTTATGCTTAGTCTCTTCTCGCTCACCGTCGCTACCTTCTGTAGGAGGTTTTGTAGTTTCCTTTCCGTATCTGCTATCAACATGTCATCTGCATATCTTATATTGTTAAGATTGTGGCCGCCAATGATGAATTCTGCTAGGATTTCTAGTTCTCTCAGAAATCCTTCGCTGTATAGGGGGAATAAGTAGGGTGAGAAGACACATTTTTGTCTTGCACTCCTTTTTATTTTTGTATAACAGCTGAACTATTTTTTTTATCTGTATGCATGCAGTTTGCTATCAGTATAGATTTTTGATTATTCTAATGTCTTTCCCGAATATGTCAAGGTTGCTGAACAGCTCTAACAGATCTTTGTGGCATACTTTGATGAATGCCTTTGCGTAATCTTATAAAACACAAGTACAAGTTCTTCTGTATTTGTATTGCGTTTCTAGTTCCGGTGTCTTTGACGAAACCTCACTGTTCTTGTCCCAACTCTGGTCTGATTCTGCTTTTATTCACCAGAATTCGGGTGATGAGTTTTGTTATGTGGTTCATTAGGCTGATTGTCCGGTGAAGTTCATATTCGTTTGCGCCTTACTTCTTAGGCTGTAATATGAAAATAGATCTACTTAGGTCTCCCGGTATATCACAAATATTGTGGATTTCATTTATTATTTCTGTAATTTTGTCTATGCCGAAATCGTCTAAAGCTGCCGACATATCTATTACAATTACGTCTGGCCCTGCCACTTTGTTTCTGTTCAATTTGGCCAGTGCAGCTTCCACTTCGGTTTTTAATATTTCCAGCCCGTCGGTATTTCTCTATATTATCGGTTGTTCTCTTTCATCTTGGAAGAGGTCTCTCATATATTCGCCTCAGCGCTGTATAATTTTTTTTTCTCTAATAAGAGAGTTCAGTCCTTGGATTTTATGCAACCTGTTGATGAATATGTCTTCTGTCCTGTTAGTTCCATTATGTTTTATGCATATCTCCTTCATCTGTGATACCCATTCTTTCTATTTCTGCACGTTTTTCGTTGAGCCATTCTTCTTTAACCTGTCTGTATTTGTTCCCTATTTCATTGTTTATTTTTCTGTATTCCGTTCCATGCCTTAGCATTGTTTTCTGTCCTCTTTGCATCATGTCGAGAATCTCATTTGTGATCCATTCGTTTTTTTTTTTCTTCGTCCATTTTGCTTTGGGGTGATGTTGTTTGCTGATGTCACTAAAGCTTTTAGTGTGTCCCATTTCGAGTTTGCATTTCCATTTTGTCCATCGTATCTTCTTTTAACACTGTCCATATATTTTTCCTTTTAGTTTAGATATAACAGATGGGGGTCGCTTCTGCCGTTGGCACTTGGATAGTTTTTGCAGTGAACAACTGCATTCCTGAATCTTTTGTTGAGAGTTATATAGGCGATTTGATTTTTACTTTTTCCTTCTGAGCTTCTCCATGTCCATACTGGGTAGGGTTAGGAATACGGCCGGTAGAACTTGTTAAACTTTGCCTTTACCAACATATATGAGTGTGTGAAACCAAATGAAGCCATCACTCAGTATTACCAGTTTACTAAAGTTCACACGTTTTAATCCGACGGACGCTAGCATCAATGAAATCATTGTCTTCTTATTTGTCTTCTTTTTTAATTGTTTTTCTTGTTGTTGTTTTTGTTGTTATCTTTATTGTTGCCGATTTCTTTTCTATTTAGAGTGTGGTACTCGGAGTGCGACTTTATACGATCCTGTTATTAGATATGGCCAGAAAGCCATCTCAGGAGAATGGCCTTGGCAGGTTGCAGTCATGTACAAGGGAAGATTTTCCTGTGGAGGAATACTTCTTAATAATCGATACGTAATTTCAGCTGCATATTGTTTCCGAAGCAAGTAAGTTCAAATTCAGCGCATATTGTTTTTAACCCTATATTTATCAGGTATTACAAGATTTAAAATGAAATTGTTGACTACTCCCGCTTACGTGAGAAGTTAGCTAATCCCTCTATCAAACGCCTGCTCAGGCACATTTGTGTCTTTTCAACACTCACTAAAATTATGCCGAGCACGTCTTAGTTACAATTTCTGAGATATAATGCATAATCTGATCCGATCAAGATTTTAGCAACACCTATACACTCAAACCCTCGGTCACGATGACTTGTGTTTCTATGCTAGCACAACCATCGATGTCTTCTGAACAGTTCCGTCTACACAATTTCACTCACAAGGCTTGGGTGAACCCGTGATATGGTTTCCAGGTACCATTGTGCTACACGCTGTGATCTTTTCCTCGTATTGATATTATCAAGACAAATTAACCAAGGTGAAATCCAAACCTGGATCCTATGGTCGGAACTCGAAACTTCTGATCACTCGTCCAGGTGACCATCATACTTAATTGTTTTGACTGTTTGTATACATTTTTATTAATATGATGGCAATTCATTTGGTTAATAAAACCTTAATAAAATGCTTGCCAATTATGTAAACTACCAAATCAATATATCTGATTAAAAAAACACATCTTCAACAGAAAAAAAGATTTCCCATTCTCTCTATCTCTCTATTGTTAGATAGGTATCTGGATTTTTTCAATTTCTTTATTGCTTTTGCAGGTGCAATGTTGATCCTTTGCACAATGGGTTTAATGAGTATATTGGATTTGTGTGTTTTAGGTAAACCGTATAATGTGGCTGTTTTTGGTAAACCTTATAATGTGCGCTAGGTTTTGCAGATTTTAGACAAATACGTAAGTTATTGTTAATACAAACCCTTGTTCATGTTTTTGTAACTGCTTGAAATATTCTCGATAGTGTTATATTTTCCACATGATTTAACTAATAAATAATTGGAGAACCATATTAATGAAAAGATTGCTACATGTGTGACACTATGGACACCCACATAAAGGAGAAAGGTGATATTTTATCTTGAGCTCAAGTGTTTTTCTTTTATGACTGGCAGATTTTTTTAAAGTCTGGTTTTCTAAGTGGCATCCACTCTGAAAACAGGGACTAAAAAGGTGGATTTGGGCTTTTGAACACTATGTGACAACAAAATCAGAAATAGGGTGTATCCAGATGCTGATCTATATTAACAATTACGTTTGGGATCGGATCTTGTTCTGGTCTACTCTTGGTGTGAGAAAGACTCGTGGTTCCGATGCCACCCGTTTATATTACCAGCAATTCATCGGGATTTGTAGACAGGCGAGGAGCTTGTAGGGCGGAAGAGTTAATCAATGAGATCGACTTAAAAGTTGTCCACTACCCACCCAAGCAAGAAAGCGAAGTCCTCGATAAAACATCTACATAAAATGTTATTTCTCGACATAGCGTTTGTCTTTAATTCTTGTTACCTTATGAGCATGCATGAAACCTTTCCCACTTTTATGTGAACACCGACGAGATCACGTATCATAATGCAACATGGAGTAACTAGTGGCCGGTCGGTGGAAAGATCTGGTTAGGGTAGCGTTGTATGTTCACACGCGTAGCTGGCAGTTAAGCAATCATGACTATTTTTATCCTTTCTTTTTCGTCCCTTAAATCGATCTTCATTGCAAAATGTCAAGAATTCTCGATAACAGAAAGTTTTTATCAACTAGCAACTGCAAAACGAGAGTCCAATTTAATAAATTAATAGTAACAGATGAGAATATTAAACACTATTTATTAGATTGTTTATTATAAGAATAATTTTATATTTACAACATTGTAAAAACTAATACAATTGTATTAAAATTAATGCAATGCAATCATTTCCCAATTTATAAGGAAACAAATATAAAAACAATTTTATTCATGAATTTATAAGTGTTTACTAAATTGTTAAAATGTTAACTATGAGAAAATGCTTACTATAAAGTTACTACCTTACTATAAAGTTCGAATCGAATTAGCCGATATTTTACTACCCATTCTAATAACCAAACTAATGAATAAATAAATAGGTAAATAAAGAATCTAATAAATAATATTGTTTATTATTTTTGTGGTCAATTCTCAAGAACAAAGAAAATGTATAAATTCAATTTCATATGTTTAGGTTTTATTACAATTCTAATCATCGCTTTTTAAAATAATAAACATTGCCGAGGAGTGAAGCTACTTGAAATAATAGCGGTGTCAAGGGAAAACCATCCTTTTAACACTGCGTTTTTTACGGGTACGAAGGTCCAAGATTGCCGGATTTTCTGTCCCCTCTTTCTGTAAGGATGTTTGTGTTTAGGGCGGACAGTATCAATATAAGTTTGGGATTTAGGCATAACCCGGATGACCCTCTTTTGTTTAAGATAATTTGGGCCACTCTTTTCTGTAAGAACATACGCTTTTTGAATGGATAGTATGAATGTAAAGAAAAAACCCTAATTTAATTTCTTAATACCAAAAAATCTGGACAACACATTAATCATGCCTTCTTACTGGCGGGAAATGAATAGGGTCGGGTACATTAGTTTTCCGCAATTTTACTGAATCTTGCCTGGGTAATTCTGGGTTTGATTCTATTTGGAACCGTATTTAAATTCATTTTATTGTTTAAAAGATAATTTTTAATTCGTTTCATTTTAGATTTTTTTCTCTGCGATTCAGACTACTCTTCTGAGAATTTTAATAATTATTATACTATTAACAATCCAGATCACCATCCAGCGATTTCATGAAATTAAACATTTGAACACGGTCAGTGATCTGTTACATAGATAGATAGATAGATAGATAGATAGATAGATAGATAGATAGATAGATAGATAGATATGAACCGATTGAGATAGACAACGAATATAATGTGATACAAATACATATTTTTCTTTATGCATTTTAAATTTCAGTAAGTTACCTCAATATTATGAGATCGGCCTGGGATCAACAGTCCTTTCTTCACTTCGAAAAATACGTGTTAAGAAACTCAAGGTGCACCAAAAGTACTCAAGCTTTAATAGCAGAAATGATATTGCATTGCTGGAATTGATGACGCCGGTACAGATGACAGATTATATTCGACCCGCATGTCTTCCTCTTAAGCCTTGGGAGCCTTACATGATTTGCTATACAACAGGTTGGGGACAGAATGAAACGAGTAAGTATATATGGCTCAATTTAATCAATCAGTCAAACAATCTCTCTCTCTCTCTCTCTCTCTCTCTCTCTCTCTCTCTCTCTCTCTCTCTCTCAATTTTAGTCGCTTTAATAAAAACTTCGAGTCTTATGATGCTACTTCATGATGTTGATGTCGGTGGTAATTGGTGAATCCGGTCTTCTAATATCAAAATATGAATAAACTGAATTCTACTGTCAAGAAATTTGAGATTCGACCGTTCATTGTTGAAACATTTGGATGTGACCGGCCATCAGGGAGAGGAATTTGGCACTACGGAATAAAAAAAAAAAATCCTATTATTGTTCACTCATTAGTCCTTCAGTATCAGCTGCACTCCAACTATTACAAAAGATGCCCCAAAATTAAATACCAACAAAGCATAAATTAAAATTATTGTAAAGCTGTAAGTACAAATCAAAACATGAGATATACAATATTTTGTGTTGTTAACAGCTGGAACAGCCTTAATATTGAGCGCTTGTATATCTGATGTTATAATAAAGATGACAGCCATCATATAATAGTGAACTGACCTCGAAGTGCGAGGTGCAATAAAATTATGGTTTATTGGTTTAATGAAATATTATTATGGATTTTTGTTGAGATGTACGAATAGCCTGATGGTTATCGGCACGGAAAACAGCATCGGTGGTCCAAGTTCAAATTTGCCATCTAGCTTCCTTAATTCAATGAGAATGTCCAAATATGAAGTTCTCAAGATACTCTCTACAAGGCCTACAAGCGTTTGTACAGGTCGCTCAATAATAGATGGTCAGTTAAGGCGTTCTTTGATCCTTCTCATAGACTGATTGATAATTTTTAACAGCAGCAGAAGTCTCTTTTGGGGAAGTCATTTTCGCTACTTTATCTTCTTTCTCCCAGAATTTATTGTTTTTAAAAAATTGCTTTTGCTCTTATTTTTATTTTGAACTGTCGTGATTTTTGTTTTGACACATACTTTATAATTATATTTTTTCGCTTTTGGGCGAATTTCAGGGTTACAAAGAGCCATATTTTGGAGTGAATTATCACTCCAAATACGGAATGATAATTATCATTCTGTTATCTAATTATCTGTTATCTAATTCAATCGGTAAAGAAATTGTCTGTTATTTAATTCATTCGGTAAATAAATTGGCGTACCAAATATATTAGGGATGATAGTTCAAGCACCACATTCACGAGCATTTCACATTCACTTTAAACTCAGACAATGAGCCTCTAAACTCTAGCTGGTCAATGTAGGTGGTTGCTATCGATAAGCTTGTTTCGTTCCATGATTAGGTGTCCAGAGTATCAGATCACTTGATTCCATACAGCTGCCATTTAATTGGATGTCAAGAGATGCCAAGTATAGCCCTCATCATCCAGGTGTAAGTTCCATCAAGCTTAAACTCTAGGGTTTTAGTTAATGTCCAAGCAGTGGCACTATACATTAACACCACCTCTATAGTAGCTCGAAAGAATCTCCGCTTAAGGTTGTCTGATAGCTTTCCAGGTTACATCAAGCTTCTTCGGGGTGTATACAAGGTCGTACAAGTCACTTTGTGTGCACTCACGCTTTAACTTTGTGCGACCTCTCTTCTGTATATCACTCACCTTCCATATGGGCTAATGAGTTTTTCTACTGTCTCCAGCTCTCTTAATTTCACAATTTTTAATGTGAAGTGTCTTTCAAAAGAGGATTACCTAGGCGCCGTTGCAAATTTCACAATATACTCCTTCTCTACATTGAAGTATGAAACTCTTGATATATTAAACGAATCGTAAGTTTGGTTGTGTGGCATTTTTCTTTTCTTTTTTTCTTTTTTTCTTTTTGTAATGTCGAGGAGGACAAATAATTTTCTAGCAGTACACAGATATACAGTCATTTCCTTTGAGCTTATAGAAAAATACCGATGGAGGAAATCATAATAATGACTAACTTTGGTGCAGTTGTAACCGTCTTGGATCGATAAAGATAATTAATTCACAGTCATGTAGAGCATGATAGAACACTTTTTCTTTTCAAACATAGACAGCCTGCTTACATTCCGAAATTCTGTTCTTTTTTTTTTTTTTTTTTTTCGTCTAACAATTGTTTGAATTACAAAGTTCCGCCTTTGTTTACTCTTTGAACTCACATTTTACATAAGAGAATTCCCATATAAAATTTTAGAATGAAATAGGTAGAAATCCCCATGGGAGTTATTGTGGTAGTAACTGACCTGAAGATACGCCCGCTGAAATCCGTAATCCATTGCCTGGCTTCTCTGTAGGATAGAATTAGGTCACATTTTCACTGTAACTATAGTCTGGTTTGAAGAAATGACGTCTATGTCTCATACTGATTCTGTCCATTTATTTAGAAAAACGCCGCGAAAACTAAAAAAACAAATATATCTCTCAAAAGTGAAATGGATAAATAAAATACACAAACAAGGAAAATACTTTTCAAACAGAAATAACAACAATTCGGAGCATCAAAGAAATGATAAAGAGACACATGGTTTCTTAGAAGAGAATTTCAGACTCAGTATGGAGGAAATATTTACTGTGTTGCCTCATAGACCAGCAGTAACTTAAAGAAACGCGTGTAGATTCCTTAACCTTAAAGAGTCACGTGGTATCAAACTCGCAAAATTACAACTAAACACATGTATGTATATATGTGATAAATTTCTATTTTTATATTTTACAAAATATTAAAAATTATCCTCATAATTTTAACACTATTACTACTACTACAATACTACTTTTAAGTAGCAAGATCTTTAAGCCTGGTAACACATGTACCGCATAGAACAATTGTTCTATCCTTCCCGAATAAATCACGCTTACCTAGCAATTCAAACAGGTCTTCGTATCATACTTTATCAAATACTTTTGCATAAAACATAGGTATAATTCCTTTTTCAGTTGTATTGCTCTTTCCGATATCATTCTGAGTAAATATATATATATATATATATATATATATATATATCGCATTCCATGTTTCAATGTATTTAACAAAACCGCACTGTTCTTGTCTTATTTCTGGTCGAATTCTGCTATGCGCTCTATTCTTCATGATTCGGGTTATGAGTCTTGTCATATAGCTCATTAGGCTTATTTGCCGATGAAGTATTATGAAAATGAATCTACTTGAATCTCCCAGTATATCACCACTGTCGTACATGTTATTTAAAATATCTGCAATTTTGCCAGCCATCTAAAGCTTCTAGCATCTCTATTGGAATTCCATCTGATCCTGCTGTTCATGTTCAGTTTGGCTAGAACTGATTTCACTTCAAACTTTAATATTTCTGGTCCTTCTATATTTTTTGTTTGTTGGAGGTTTTGATTTTTTGTCGTGGAAGTGGTCTCCGATAGATTTGTTGTATCTTTGAAATATTTTTCATTTTCTACTGTCAGTTTTTTGATTTTATACATCCTGATGAGGAGTAGATGTTGTCCTGCTATTTATCTTATTCTTTTATGCATATCTATCACATTTGTGATGCTCATTCTTTCTATTTCAACACATCTTAGTTGAACCATTCTCCTTTCAGATGTATGCATTTGTTTTTCATTTCTCTGTGCAGTTTTCCTATATTCTGTGCAATATCTTGGTATTGTATGTTGTCTACTCTTCATCATTTCGAAAATTTCATCCATTCCTTCTTTCTTTGTCTAGTTTTCTTAAAGATAATTTCATTTGCTGGTATTATTAATGCTTCTTTTAATGTGTTCCACTTCAAATTTCCATTCTCATTTAGTTTCTTGTATTTGCTGTTAACACTGTCCGTATATAGCTCCATTAAGTTCTAGTTATTCAGGAATTTGTCGCAATGCAATTTAGGTGCTGCCTTGTGTTGCTTGCGTAGTTTTACTTTAATGTAATATATATCAGTGGAAGGTGGTCGCTTTCGTAATCATTACTTGGGTATGTTTTACAATGAAAAACTAAACTCATGAATCTCTTATTGATGGTTATGTAGTCGATTTGATTTTTTGTTTCACTTTCTGGGCTGTACCACTTCTATCAACTTCTTGGGTGTTTTTGAAACTGCGTATTGGCTATTACCTGATTGTTCGTCATGCTTCATTGAATCCATTTTTCTCTGTGTTTAAAATTGTGACTACTGCAGGTAATTAATAGGTAATGTAATTTGGAAAAATAACTATTTTGGGTAATATCGGAAATGATTTGAATTCCAGCCACTATTTGAAAGAATATCTTCAGTGATTTTTCCTTATATTTTTCATCCCTAATCTATAATGTTAACACGAGGTTTCTACCATCTGATTTGCAAATTGCAATTCAGATGGCAAGATTTATAGAGTTTCTGCGGGATGCAATACTTAAGCATCGTCAAATGCAACATCTAATTAGTAATGACTGAAGAACTCATCAGCTAAAATGTTTTAATTCTTTAGATGAAGAGATCCGTGCGAAAAATGAATGCATTTATTATTCTTTCTTATTTGTTAGTACTCTGTCTTCTCTTTGGTGACTTCAATTCTATCTTTTCATCATTTGAGCAATTCTGAGTGATTGACTAGATAGGGATGTTACACCGTTAGTGATATATCTTTAATCATTAATGACACATGTTACTATAAGTGATGAGTGTTACTTTTAGTAACATGTTATTGTCATATTATAATTATTAGTAAGACGCTTTACTGTAAGTGACAGACGTTATATTATTACTATTAATTATGCATATCACTGGAAGTGATGAGTATTGCATTATTAGTATATATTACTGCACGGGACGCGTATTATTGTAAGTCATAGACAATGTATGCTTTATTATCAGCGTTATTATGTTGGATTTTTCATTGTTGCTATTAGTGATGCATGTCACTGTGATGCATGTTATATTATTATTATTAGGAATATATTAAACTGAAAAATGTTACATTATTGCTGTTAGTGATCTATGTTACTATTAATGACGGATGTTTCAGTACATGATGGGTGTTACATTATTACTGTGATTGATGGATGTTACACTTGTTTCAAATTGTTAATGGTGGATGTAACATGGGATTCAAAATAATAAGCGGTTATGTTTTTATCTTGTCTTTCATTTTTCTTTCAGGAAGCCAGCAATATGAACTGATGGAAACAAAAGTTAGCATCTTACCCAGAGAGTCTTGCCTGCATCAATTCCCTGAAATAGATGCTACGGGGATGTGTGCTAATAACAAACAACCAAACCAACCAGGGTGTTATGTGAGTAATTCATCGTTTAATGATTGCATTTCTTGACCATTTACCTCATGTTTGAGGAATCGGTCATTTTGTGCATTGCTCTTTGAAGCGTTTGCGAGACGCGAAGAACCTAACTCTTTTAACGAAGTGTAATGGAAACGTTATTCTTAATTCCTTAATTTGAAGATCTCTATCTATAAAAGTCAGGATGTGTGTGTGTGTGCGTGTGTGTGTGTGTGTAACGAATGCACGGCCGCAATTTTCGACGGATTTGCACCAAAATTTACATGCACATGCTCCAAGTTAGTGGGAAGGCCAAGACCAACTTTGCATTTCCCAACTCCCATCGATAATGGAAATAATCGATTTTTTCATGCTTTTACGGCAGTTTTCATGTAGTTTGCGGCTATTTTGTACTAGCCAGAGTGAGAGCCTATAGCTAACCGACACGAATGTTAACTAGCATGCTAGCATGCACAAACTTGATAGCTGCATTCGTCACAAGTGGGAAAAATTTAAATCTGCATGGCACTTTACTCCAATTGGCTCATTCGCTTGCTTAAACTCAACGTTGATTCTGATTCCTCAGAACTGGGTTTGTTGTGAAAAAGTATTTGTTGTTAACATTCTTTTTTTCATTCGGTTTTTCCAGTTACGAGTCCTTTTTTTAAAACTGATCGTTTTGTGTTCATTTTGTTTAGTTCTTTTTTCGTAACAGATTTAATGTTTAGTATAGAGCTTAGAAAAAATTCGCCGTGTGAGATAGGCAAGAAGTAAGGCATGTAGCAACATCAGCACGGCAAAGGGCACTCATTTAAAGGCAAGGAAGGGCAAAAATATTTTAAGTCAAGTGATAGCGATTTCTCTATGAGTCGTACGATTTTTGAATCAAGCCCGGGCAACGCCGGGCCATGCTGCTAGTAGGTTTCTAAAGCCGAAGACAAAAGTAGAAAAATATTTGGAATTCAGACTGCAGGCTCAAATTATCTTCCATTCTCCGAGTAACTGTTTACTCCCATCCCTATACTCACGTTGGTACTGATAGGTGATGACTATATCGATAGTAGATGGTTGGAAGAAAACTTTCTCTGTAATTTACACCTTACAAATTAAAATTAATCAAGTCACATGTAACACAAACATGTTTGGCTATATAACACCGATACTTTATTGGCCAAGCTTAATATAATGCAATGAAATCTCCAAAAGTAATACACCCAATGTATTCCCACAGAAGCAACAACAGATATTAGTACATCATCAAATTTTCAGCTACAGAACACTACTTTTGACATGGCTCCCCACAACTGGCTTATTGCTTATGCATTTTTTCCAGCGATGAAGAGAGCTTGCATACAGCACTCGTAAACATGGCTTGACACACACATCTCTATCGCTATTGCTGAAACGCATTGCCCATCGGTTATGCTCACATCCAGTTTCATATCAGAGACCGTTTTGTCAGATTTCTATCTTTATAAAAATGTGAGATTTTAGATGAAAAATTATCTATTGTCATACTATCAAAATTCGCCAATAGAATAGGACGCATTATTTCAGGAATGAATTGATTTTTTAAAGTCCTCTTTCCAACTATGGCAAGACTTAGACATTAATTTAACAAATGCATCTAACCTATATTAATCGAAGTCTAGGAAGCACAATCCTAATGCTCGAAAAAGACATGGATCAAAGTTAATCTTTGATACTTGAAGCGTCCCAAATGAAAAATGCCAATGAAACTGAACCATTTCTTAAACGGCTTTGCCTGGAGGTTCTCACTTTAAACTTGATTTTGTATGGCATTCCGCTACCGTGGTAGTTGTGGGGAGTAGAAGGTGGATGTGGCTAAATACACATCATTTGATTTCTCCTATTTAGTTATTCATTGTAATTTTTCATCTCATTTCTCGGAATGAGTTAGCTGTCTTAATTGCTTTTCCACATTTAATTTCAATACCCATTAAACACAAGCGTTCTATCGCTTTTTCCTCCCAATTGTCTACTCTAAAACCATTTTACCAAGCCTCCTTAAAGATGTAATCGTCCCATTCACATGTCACCACCCATCTCATCACACAGGCTCCCTCGTCCTGTAACCATAAGCGATTCACACTTGTTATAAAAGATGCTTGATTTGATTCTATCTGATATTCAATTAAAAAAAATCATCCATTTTCGAAATCTTCAGATTGATCAGTTTATTCCTCTCCATTAAGTCATTTAATAGGAAAAGAGGTCAGCACCGATGAATCCGAGGCATGTCTCAGTTGTCTTCTTACTTCAGCCAATATTACGTCCATAACAACCTTTTCTATGAAATGCGAATTAGACTTATTGTAGACCTAAGTCGATCCTAGTCATTGGCAACCAATTATGTAACTCACACCTCCACGTTACGTTGGTCTTCAAGTTCCTTCCGATCACTGTGGTTACCGTCTATCTGACTCCTCACTCGTTAAAACGTTGCTGATTTGTCGTTAGTATCGTTGTGATGTGTACGGTTCCACACGACTTAGCTGGCGTTTGTCTGTTGACCATTCACTCCTCTGCCACGTTGTGTTTTTTTTTTTATCTCAGAGGATGAGAAGATCGTTGATGAAGCAAACTGAATAATACATAATACAGGTCGAGCTACACAAAAAAGGATTCTTTGCAATAAAGAATTAACTCGGGCTAAAATATAACAACGATTTGGTTTATATATGATTTGTTGTATAAAACGGTTTTAACACTTCCCACTACTGTTATAAACAAATGACACTGGGATCCCCTGTTTGAGTTTGCAGCTTGTCAGTATTAATTTTTATTTCTAATTTCTGATCTTCAGAGCCGGCACAAGTTCTTGGTCAGGTGGTCTCGGCTAATGAAACGATGTGGGTTCAAGTAACAGTAGTGTGGGAACTCTCAAAGTTGTCCAAACCTCCAGCTTATATGGTGTCCTGCATCCGTCAGGGGTGGGGTTGACCAGGATCTGGGTTCGGTTAACTTTTACCATTAGCATCAATCTTTTAAGTTTACTCGAGTGATTTTCGAAATTTGGGGTTGTCTAGCTCATTGTGAGTATGGTCAGGGTAACCAAGCCGTTCCTTAATTGCAACTCCCTTCACATCTCATCTCACACCATTGTCCCATACAGTGGTGCTAATCTCTTTCTTCCATCTCCCAATTCCTCGGCGTCTAACCTCAGCTGTCTCCAAGGGCAGACACTCTGTTCCTGTGACGAATCCAAACTTTCAGAATGCGTAGACGAAAAGGGATTTTCCAATAATTAATTTTTCATCAGCTTGTCTCACATTGTAATTTCCTAAAACCAGGGACTTGTTCAGAGCCCATCCAGATGCCCCCACCTCATGCCAGCCAATCTTAAGAATTGTCATGGGTGGGAAAGAAAAACATTCCCAATCTCTTGAGTGATAGAAAAAAGTTATCTTTCCTCTGCATTTTCTCGATCAGCAAGACCACACAGCCTTTCTGTCCACCGTCACTCCAAAATAGTAATTATTTTTTCTTTATCACTTGTATCCAAAGGAATCCGAATTAATGTCGGATATTATATGTTTCTTGACGAATGTCACAGAAATTAAAATAAATGAACACACTTAACTGAATTCCATCTAATTAAATTTAGGTTCGATTCTTCTTGGAATCGCTCAGTAGTTCACTTACTACTTTGAAACGTGATTTTTCAACGCATTTCGTTTTTAATTTTAACTTTTCAGTCCATCCTCCTGCGAATTTTAAAAATTATCATTCAGTTAGTAGACACTTTGGTCTTACTTCTTGTTTAATCAACCCCTGAGATCCAAGTGTCACATGAAAAGTATATTTACGAAAAATAATTTTTTTTTTCCTTTCCATAAAAAAAAAATGCTTGGAGTTGGGGCTTTTTGAAAATTAAAAATATCAACTTTGTTCCATAAAGTTTGTCTGAATGTTAAAGCGTTGCATTGAATTTGGTTAACGTTTATTACTTTTCTGATTGATTTTAGGGTGACGAAGGTGGTCCTCTTGTCTGTCGAAATATGCAAGGATATTGGTCAGTATATGGAATAGTCAGTCGGGTTTCATGTTATGGCCATCGATCATCTTCGCAATTGTACACTGATGTCTTTACGCTCCGAAAATGGATAACTGACAATATGATGAATTAAGAAGGAAAAACAAAATCACGGAAATGAACGAAACAAACTTGACTATGACCGATAAAAGGATTAACGATTTATGGAAAAAAGAAAAAACGTTGAATTAAGCATTTTCTTTAATAATTCAAACAAAAACAACTGATATTACTTTCTTGCTAATTACTAATAGTAAATAAGTCTTATGGTGATGAACATCTGGACATTTTTGTAAAATCTAAAATAAAATAATTAAAAAATTCTCTGTATTTATATCGTTTATAGTTATATAAGATAGACTATTTTTGTCATGTTTAATATTGAATTGATTTTTTTATGTTTTTACTCTATACCACAGCAGGATAAGCTTCAATGTTGGAACATCTGCTTTCACCTGGTAATCATACAATCCAACAGAAACGATTGTAGTCTTTCGATATGAATCCGTCATATACAGTTGCATACCCTCCAACAATCAGTTAAATGCTTTATGGCAAAATTAAACTCTGAAGACAAAGATGAATTTGTGAAAGACAAAAAAGTTGAAACCTAAAAAAAAAAAAAAAATTACGACCAAATAACAAAGTGATATAAGAGATAAATAGAAGGAAAAAGAAATATGACCAAGAGGAAGAAGGCTGAACATAACAGAGACCTATGATCCAAATGGGAAAAGGAGGCAGTAAATAGTTTGCTGACAGGAATTATGTTTTAATTTAGTCTACTGAAAAGAAGAAAGATAGCATTAAGATATGACAAAATGTGAGGGTAGTTACCATGTGATTAAAAAGGGTTTCGCCTGATGAAGTATAGCTAACAAAGGAAATGCAAAGTGATTACATTAAACAAATGTTCATATTGTGATAATAATATTCAGAGATTACATTGCATACAAACAATGTTATCATTTAGGATATAATATGGTGGATAGAAAAAGTGGGAACCGGGTGCCTGCAGCTAGTTCTTCATTCTTCAGTTTCCATGACTTTCTAAGGACTAAAGTAGTTGAAAAGGTAACTGACCAAACACATACCTAAATTAAAAGGTGGGCTGGACAAGGGGAAATAAATCAACAAAGGTGCTGTACTGTGGTAACAGGACAACTGCAGTAACACTGTGATATCACGACTACTGATGCACACTGAATTAATAATAATGATTCAATGGCCCCAAAACTTGAACCTGTTGTCGCAGTAATCATTATGTGAATAAGACATATGTAACTGAAAAGGCTAAATGACACCAGATAAAACTGATTTCTCTTACAAAGGAGGAGGCAAACAAATTGAAGACCCTGCAGGAAAGCACAGTTTTTATAAAGTTTTCTTGAGTGTGCAGACCGGTACATACCCTGCTTTTTAAACAGGGCACAGTGTATCTGTTTAAACATGGGGATCCCCTAAAATACGATTTGAAGTAATATAAACAATAAACAAATAAAAGGAACAAAAAATGTGTTTAACTGTGAAACTTATATCTACACGTAATACAGAAATATAAATGTGATTATGGCTCAACATATCATGTAGTAAAAATATAATTAGAATAAGAATAAACAGAAAATAACCTGTCAAGTCTCTCTTCTATCCACTATATATATATATATATATATATATATATATATAAAAGATCCCCTACAAAAAAAATACAATACCTAAAGTTTAAAATGATTTTTTTTAAAAATGAAGTCTTTCTTTAAGCTTTTAGTTTTAATTTCAAGCTAATAGATTCAATATTTCCAATAAGCAAAATACTTTGCTCTATTTCAAAACTAATTTAAATTGACTGAAAAGAATATTTTCCCCCCTAAAATAGCTGATTATCACCCTTTTTTTAGTCATCTTTCATTACAATGTAATTCTCTTCCAAAAATAAAATATACTTTTCTGAAACATTATTTGAGGAATATTAGCTGATTTAAAGTATAATTAAACTGATTTGAAACATATTTAAGTTTAAAATATCACAGAAGCGCATTTTTTAACCTGACTTTAGTCGTGTTAATATATCTGTTGTTCTACAGAAACTATCTGTAAAGAATAATTGAAGAAAATGACGTGAACACCTATATTTTTCTTTTTATAATTTTTAAATATTCATAAGTACTCAATAATGTAAAAAATTTCTGAAAATATTCTCCATAATGTAATGTTTTACTGAATTTTATAAATTTTGGATCTAAATTAAAGCTCTTATTTTCCGATAATGCCATGTATGGTTGCTGGTACTTACAAAAATCAGCAAATTTAAAAAAAAAAAAAAAAAAAAAAAAAAAATCAAAATTTAAAAAAAATTCTTGATGCTTTGTATTAAGCTTTGCTATTTATTAGTAAATATAGTTTTCACTTAATAATAATATATAAAATGCTGAAATTAATATGGAATTTTAAAAGATTTAAAACTTAAATTTTTCTAATTAAAAAAAATTTTTTTCTAAAGACAATAGTGAACTTTTCTAATTAAATAATGTCAGTTTTATTTTATGATTCAGAGCAGATTTTTTGGTAAATGATGATTCTGCTTCATAAAAAATATTGAAGATTTAAATTCTCCAAGGAATCCTACTTTTAACTAATATAAATATGAAGAGGCTGAAATTTTAATTACTCTAAATTTAATAAAATTAAGTAGGGGTAACATTTGAGGAAAGCCCTGAAAATTCCATTAAATTCCAACATAATTGTTGGAATTTAATGGAATTTTCAGGGCTTTCTTAGAAAAGATTTTTAACCAAAATTTTGAACAAGCTAGAAAGGATTAAAAAAATAATTTTTTTTTTTTTTTATTAGTTTCTTTTATTTTCCCCCAAATTCCTTCAATCTCATTGAACATCTTCAATGGTGAATTGCTAAGACAAAATAATTAATGTAATTAATAGTTGTGAATTTTTTTTGTAAATGCACCTGAAATGCAGTTGATAGTGGCTCGGATTGAGGAATCAGTTGAGTTCAAATTCGAGTCGAATCCATTACATTCACTTACGTGCTAATACCCTTGGGGAAAGTTATGAATCCACTTCTCCCTCCAGCTATGGGTAAATAGAACAAACCAGGTTCTATAGCCTTGGATGGCAATTGGGCTACCGCAGAAAGAAACGGCAACCTACTGCAGAAAAAAGTCTGCCTCGTCAGTCATGTATCGAAAGATGTCATGTCTCTTGTTACACATGCTGTTGGTCCTGGTTCAACAGAGGCTCATTGTTTTGAACACATTGCCACAGTTCTTCTATGTTTCATCCTGTTTCTCTCAAAATTTCTGTTTGGATTTGGCAAACCAAAATTGCCAAGATCTGAGTCCAAGTATATCACTTTGTCTTCAATTTCACAGAGAGCTAAATTTGCAATCTGAGGATTCAATTCCAATCCTGGATGAGCAAGTCTCATTTGAAGAAGAGGAGATATTCAAAAGTTAGAGAGTTGTGTCCCTTTAATTGAAAAAAGTGTGACACATTGACATTTTATATATATATATATATTCAAACAACTCTTCAGGAGATTTCAGCTGTTTTCTCATTTTGTGTTTCTTTATAAGTTTGATGATGTAGTTTATATGCTAGTCGGGATGCTTCTTATTTTCATATATGTGTGTGTGTGTGTGTGTGTGTGTGTGTGTGTGTGTGTGTGTGTGTGTGTGTGAGCGAAAGATAGGTGGTTTAACCGAAAAACTAACTTTTTCGGTTTCATTTTCACACCGTGAAACTGCATCAAAATTTTTATGAATCCAAAATCGTTCGGTTTAGCACTATCAATACTGAGTGACCATATCCAAAGAAACACTATTGAAAAAGACTTTCAGATGTTAATAAAATTAAATTTTATCAACATTTAGACCATTGTAAGAGAAAAAGATTGGACAAAAATATGTTAAGAACATTTAATTGACTAGTTTTAGGAGATAAATGTGAAATCTGTTTACAAAAGAAATGAAGAAAAAAAGGAAATACAACAGGGATGATACTTGGAAATCATAGAATGTTTTTAAAAAAAAAAACAAAAAAAAAACTTCCTGATACTATTTTCTCTCTCTCAAAAAAAAAAAAAAAATGTGTCGTCCAAAGACAATATAGATAGTTTATGCGATGATTTTTGTATTTTACCAATTTGTTAATAAATATATACTGATTTATAGTTGAAATCTAAGTCATGAATTCTATGACTAAATTACCTTTAAAGCCTAAAACCTAATTTTAGGTGAACAATCCCTACTTTATTACCCACCTCAAGTCAAAGTTTTTGATTTTTTTTTTTTTTTATTATTCCAGTGGTCTTTAATGCACGTCTATAAATTTTTATTACTCTTGCTTAAAAACCAAATATTGACCCCTTATACACAAATTAACAGACTTCCACAATGACAGACATATCAAAAAACAACACTTGAAAAGTAAATGGGGCATTTATTTTACATGACAAGACAAAACTTCTTGCAAATGTCATGTTTACAAACACAACATAGTAGCTTGTCAAGGAAACACGAGTAATCTGCGAAGTAATTTGAAAATATCAAAAGAAATAATAAAAATGATTATTTTGTCAAACCTGCATTTTTTTTGTTTTTAGATTGATCATAATGCTGCACTTCACGCAATGAAACAAAAAAAGTTATCAACTTTGTAAATTCACCAATTAAATGGGATAAGACTAATCTAAGGAAAAGACAAGCTGACCAGTCTTGTGGAAATGATCTGTAAGAATCTTCAGAATATGAGCTTTGTTGAGGATGAAGCATTTAAATCCTTCACCAAATGTCTACAACCTGCTTATCAGTTGCCAACCAGATGACATGTTAGCAGCATTTTGATTCCTGAGTTATAGGAGTCAGTCAGTATTGACATTTGGCAACAATTGTCAGACATACAGTACATTTCATTGACAATGGACTACTGAACCAGCCTTGGTAATGATTCCTATATGTCTGTGACTACTCATTTTCTAGCACCATCTTTTGATGTTAAGGACTGTTTAAATGTTTCTCATTCACCTCATTCTCACACAGCTGAAAACATTTCTAAAGAAATTTGCAGCACAGTTAGAAAATGGTTCCTGATGAGAATGGTGATAAAATGAATATTTATCTGGTTTCAGACAATGCAGCCAATATGGTTGCAGCCTCAAATCTGTTGCCACACAACTATCAACCATTGTGATGCTTTTTACACAAATTGCAGTTGGTTGTAAAAGACAGCATCATTCCCAGGTCTACAAAATGCAGAAAGATTGTCAGCTATTTTCAGCATAGTGCACTTTCAAAAACAAGCTGAAAGAAATGTAGACATCAATTGGTTTGACTCCACATAAAAACTGAGTGTGAGACAAGGTGTAATTTTACCTATTATAGGATAGAAAGGCTTATTGACCTAAAGGAACCAACCTCTGGCAGGTTTTCTTGCCTCTCTTGACTCAAACAGATTGGAAGCTGGCAACAGAATATGTTGATGCTCTCAAACGCTTTGAAAATGCAAACAAAAATTGTCAGCATCCAGATACTCAACAACATCAATGATTATTCCAATTCTGATGATGAAGTCAGAGCTAGACCGTTTTGGGGAACAGGTGATAGCCAACATTGAACTGAAATGGCCCAACTATGAAAGTGAGGAATTGTACACCATCACCAGATGCTTGGACCCTCAATTTAAACTCTTTGCATTTTCAGATGACAGAATGAAACCATGGCAAAAAGCATACTAATGAATAAATTATTAGTTCATCAGTCATGTCCAGTGATACTGAAAAAGGAATTAAAATTAAATGTGTTCTACATGAGCAAAGTAGTGAACCAAAATAGAAAAGACTTTTGGGGTTTTCTCTGAAAGTTCAGGCTGAAAAAAAAACAACAAAAAAACAATAATACCAGAGATAAAAGAGTATCTAGGATTAAGAACGAGGTGGATAGACATCTCTATGGAAAAAAACATCGACCCAAGAAAAATGGGATGCTCTACCCAAATCTTTATCTACTTGCAAGAGATTTTTTTAAATATTCCAGCTACCTCTGTAGAGAGTGAAAGAATATTTAGCACAGCAGGGCTTGTCATCAGTGACCAAATATGTAGGCTGAAACCTACTCATGCTGAGAAACCAATTTTTCTTAACCATAATTTAAGACAATGAGATGAAACATTCTCAACGTTGAATAACATCTAGGGCCCACAATTTTCTCAAATTTTGAAAGAATTAAAAAAAAAAAAAAAAAAAAATTAATTTTTTTAAAAAGTTTACCATGAGTTACAGATGTACAAAAAGCAGGCATAAAAAAAGTGCAGAACTATTTTAAAACATTAATAAAAAAAAGGAAAATTATCTTTTGACTGTTTTCTTTTACATTTAATATAAAAGAACAATTCCAAATTATGTGTTAAAATAGATGTCTGTTACACATAACGTACATTTTATTTTAAATCATTTTTCAATGTTTACCTTTGTTCAGATATTTAAATCATTTTTTCATGCCTTAATACAGACTTATCTTCTATGGCAGGCCAAAAGGGTGAAGAAAATACAAATTATTATCAACATTTCTGGATATAAATGGGAGAATTCTTTACCCCTAAATAAAATAATTAATCCCTTGAAAATAACTGCCTGTCAGTTTCAGACAAGTGTTTCAATAATTTTAAAGTTCTTTTACCACACATTTATTACTACTAGTTGCTTTCTTTTTTTTTTTTTGCTTATTTTTATAATTTTTGAAGGAATTTGCTACCATAGGTCAGAGAAGAAATAAACATCTTCCTGGTTATAATTTAAAATGTCTTCTAATTGAGTATACAATTTCAAGAATATTGATAAAGGTTGGTCACTTTGATTTTGTGAAACAAAGTAACATGTAAAATTTAGTCTCAAATAAAAAAAAAAAAAAGTAATTCAATGTATAAAAGCACATAAAATTAAATATTTAGAAAGATTATTTTATTTTCTTTCCAGCCATATGAATATTTTTAAGATTGGACCAGAAATAGACAAGAAATTGTGAGTTAAACAGACTAACTGACAAATTTATCAATCTCATACAAAATCAGATATTGACTGGAAATGCTAGCACTACACAAGAAAATGAATAGCTTGCTTAGAAAGCAAAAATACTAAATTTAAAACCAAATCGAAAACTGTGATATCAAGAAAAAAAAAAAAAAAAAAAAAAAAAAAGAAACCAATACAAAAACAAATTGTCAAACTGACCAACTCTATATATATATATATATATATATATATATACACACACACACAATTTATGCTCTCAATATAATTCGATTGAGCTCTTGGAGAGGAAGGGATGATTTTATAAACAGTGGCTGCTGCTGTTAATGCAATGCTCTTCAATTAGAATCAAGCTCTCTTAGCCACTGACGTTTTTCATATAGCAAGAATGTTACAATTTCCCTTACTCTCTGCTATGTAATGATTGCTTGTGGGTAGAATCTCTGGCTGATGCCAAATTGATCAGGTTTTGGTCCCGGCTTGAAGCAATCGGATGTCTAACCAGACTGATGAACTGTGATACAGCAAAACAGTCTGTGGATGACTATATATATATATATATATATATATATATATATATATATATATATATATATATATATATAGAGAGAGAGAGAGAGAATCATTGTATTTTTTCAGTAAATATTTGAGTAAAAGTGACAATTTGAGGTAAATCTATATCATCCAATTGTGAAAAATGGTGATAAAATTATTGTATAGAAAGTTGCAACTTTGCGTGTAAGATGCAGACCACTTTGTGCCCTATATGCTGTCAAATACCGTAATTGAATGCACTCAAATGAACAAGAGCCAAAAATGTTTTCATAGTCCAGTAATTGTTTTTTGGTATTTCTTTCTACAAAATGTTTTTCACTTTAATACAAAAACCAGAATTTATTTTCAGTCTTTATTCTTAATAGCAAAAATATTTTAGAAATGTTTAGAGCATTTTTTTTCATTGCTTGAAAATATCAAAGTTATTTAAATCCCCAGACAAAACTTAAATTTTATTAAATTTAAGTTATGGTTCAATTATTTCTCATTTTAATTAGCAAGGTATGCCCTCCAACCAACCAGGCTTAATTTGCTATTATCACCATCTAAACAGAATTTATTGAAATAAGAACACAAAATATTTAAATTTTTTTTTGGTTTTTATTCAAGTTGTCAAAACATTTTCCAAATTCCAAATGTAATAAAATCTCAAATTTTTTGGAAAGCAGCAATATCCATACTCTGAACCTGAAAAGTAAAAACATAAACCAAGGTAAGGTTTTTTTTCTTTCCACAGAAGAAATTCAAACATTTTCATGTCACACATTTAAAAGGAAAAGAAAAATTCATCTAAGATGAAAGGAAACTAAATTGGACATGGGTTATAGAAAAAGTCAAAATGCCCGTTAGATTTTCTAACTGCAACTGCCCTTGGGAAAGGCATAAATCCATCTCCCCTGCCCCATACCAGATTTGGATTAAATAGCAGGTTAAACACCAAATTTAAAACTATAGCGAAGGCTATGGGAAACCACTCCACTGTCTTTCCCAGGAAGTCATGGCAATTGACAGAAGAGAAATAAGAGAAAATACTTTCAAGTTCACATTTTAGGGAAACAATTCATTTTTGCAAAACAAAAAGCAAGGTAATGCAGATGGCAAACTGACAAAATGTATCATTGTTCTTGTGCAGCATAAATACTTACATGATCTTCAAAGGCCACAATTTTTTCTTCCAAATCATCAAGACTAACTTTATCATCTTCTATGACACAGATAATAGACAGCTTCTTGATACCGAAAGCAAGAGGAACAAGTTTTGCTAAAAGATGATAGAGAAAAGCAATTACAAAGAACAGTCAGGAAAACTTCATAACAACATTAAAGCAACATGTAACAAACTATAACAGGTTGGGTTTTTTTTTTCTTGCAAAATTCATATTTCTAGCGATTTAAGACATCGTAACAGGTTCAAACATTGTAACCTCAAACAGGCTATAACAATGTTAAGGCAATTTTTTTCAAAGTGACATCTTCTACAAAGCCATATGCATATAGGAAGAAAAAATAAAAAGGAATGAATAGATTTTTAGTATAGTGGCACACTCACACACATAACACTGAATTTGACTAAACATATTCAATATAAATTTTCACAAAGAAACTGGGATGGGTAAAAAAAAAAAAATAATAAAATACAGGTAAAAATTGTTCAAATTTGATCTGACATTAAACATCCTGTACTGCACAGTACAAACACGGTTAGTGTTTTTTTGTTTTTTTACACAGGACACTACACAAATCGTAACACTTTTCACATCAATTTTAAACTCAAATGAACACTTGAATCTAAGGGAGAAATTTCTTTCTTCTGTAATTTCTTTCTTCAACAGAACCTTCACAATTAATGCACACACATGACACACTATATATAGTAATGATACAATATGGTAATCTGTATGGAAGAGCTCTAAGTGAAAATTATTATTAATTAAAGAATATCAAACACTTAAAATCCCATAGGTAAAAATTGATTGAGAGCTGCTGTTTTTTTTTTAGAGCTCTCGTGAAATAAAAATTATTACCTATGAGATTTTAAGTGTTTGATATTCTTTAATATATATATATATATATATATATATATATATATATATATATATATATATATATATATATATATATATATATGTATGTATGTATTCAAGCAGCAAATTTTTTTTATGTATGTCTGATTAAATAAATTAAACATTATGCCTGCTTATTCTTAATAAAATCCCTTTGTGTGTGTAATATATATATATATATATAGATATATATATACACACATACATACATACACACACACAGCACAAGAGCTACATCTTAAAGTTAACAGCATTTAAAACAATCCCCACCTACTTGAAAAATATTAGGGAAGTGGCCAAAAGTGCTTGTGACAAAGGACAATATCTGAAATTCCACCAAATGGAAAAATGTTGGAAGAACTAAAAAAAATTCAAATTTTCTGTCATATCCAACGAAATATGTTTAAAGGAAAAGTAGCTTCCAAAATACATATATAGGTAGATAGTGAGAGAGAGAGAGAGAGAGAGAGTTGAAAATGAAGTAAAAGCTACAGAGTACTTACAAGCTCCCCAAAGTAAACCATCCATTTCTATGGACCGAACACATTCCTCAATTTTCTTCATGTCCGTTTCATCATCCCAGGGTTTTATATCAAGTGTTACAGAAGATTTTGCTATCACAGCAGGTTCTGTAGAATTAAGAGAAAGTGAGAGAAAAAAAAAAGACATTACAGATGTACATCATAGCAATGAAGAATCTGAGAATACCAAGTGCTGTAAGATTGGATGTGTGGCTTGAAATTGAAAATGGGAGAACAGAGTTCAAATTCCAGTCGGGTTTGTTATATACACTTACAAATACTTAGGAAAGGTATGAATCTATATTCCACAAAGCTATAGGTTACTTAGAAGGATTTGTATTAGCAAGGTCATATCTGAAGAAAAAAAAAATTCTCACAGCTCAAAAATATTTTCTGGCTCTCTGTAAAGGGTTGATAAACTATAAAAGACAAATCAATCATTTCAAGTTTCTGATTGGAAGTTTTGTTTCTGAAAAATTTTTTTTTTTTTTTGCTTTGAAACAATTTAAGAGGGAAAAAGTTGGGGGGGTAGTTTTATTTCCTTTTACTTTCTTTTCTGCAACAAGTCGTCTTTTGAAAACTTACAAGAAATGCAAGCAGTAAAGTAAGTCCCCTAAATTTGACAATGCATGAAGCATTAAAAGCATTCACTGAATTTTCGATACCTAAGGTTTAAAATGAATTTTTAAAAATGAAAAAGCATTCTTGAACTTTTTTAGCTTTAACTGAAAGCTAGATGATTAAATTTACTATTTCCAGTAAGCAAAATACTTTAGTGTATTTCAAGTAGAAATTATATTAATTGGAATCTCAACTTTTTGGATGATTTCACAAAATCATTATGTCATTTTTGACACATTTGTAAACAAAAGTTAATTCTTGGTTTTAAAAATCTTCCAAATATAAAGTATAGTTTATTGAAACTAATTGAGGAATATTAGCTGATTTAACATAATTAATCTGATTTGAAACAAATATTATTTACTTTAAGTTTGAAATAAGAGAAATGGATTTGTAAAACAAATGGTAGCAGTGATCATGTGCTTATCACTCATAGATCACTTAACAAGCAATGATAAAATCTGTCAACACCTTTACTGTTGTTCTATGGAGACTATTTGTTAAAATATAATTTAAGCAAATGACAGGTGAGCACCATTTTTTATATTTTTTTTAAGTATCCTGTAATGTTAAAATTATCAGAACATTCTGTAATCTAATTTTAGAAATGTTAAATTTAAATTTACTATAGCAATTGCTCATTTTCATATGTTGTGTATGGTCAACCATACTTTCAAACAGGGGCAAGTTATGTATTATTTTATATACATAAAAATTTTTTTTCAATTTTTAAAAAAAAAAATATTAAAAATATATTGGGGTTAACAACTTTTATTGAGCTTTTCAATTTTTGATTTGTAAATATTGTTTTCACTTAAGAACTATAACACCTAACCGGATTGAAGTAATTCAGAATTTTAAACGATTTATAATATAAATTATTACAATTAAAATTTTAAAAAAATGAAAACATTTTTTGTAAAAATTCATTATTCATCGAAAAAATTTTCTTAAGACAATAGTGACTTTAATAAATCTTATTTATAAAAGCAATTAAAAGCTTTTCTAATTAAATGTAGGTTTTATTGCATTTTTTTTATTTTAAGATACAGAGCGAATTTTCATGAATCCAATGTATGAAAAAAAATAAATAAATAACTTAATTCATTTATGAAAAGTTTCACTAAAATCCAATAATTATGTGTGCATATGTGTATGTGGGGGAGGGGTACCAGCCTTGTATACACAATTACTAAAACTGAGTAGCAGACAAAATATCAAGATATACAAACTTTTTGCTTTCTTCTCAGCATATGCCTTTAATCGTTCTTCTCTCATTTTTTCGGCTTCTTCATCATCCTATAATAATAATAATAATAATAATAATAATAATAAATAGGTTAGTTCGAGCATCATTAATGAACAATTCTTTTGCAGACTGTTCATAAAGATTCTTCTGTGTACAGTACACAAAGTTTCCCTTCATAATCAAGAAATCAGCATACAGAAAAATGACTCAAGTCTACAAATTTCATTTAGACTTAAAGAGTAAAGTGTCACTGGAAATTTATTGTTACTCCAAAATTTAAATTAGGGATTAAAAAAAAAACAAAAAAAAAAAAAAAAAAAAAAAAAAAAAACTCCTTCCAAAGTCTGAAAACAAATGACCATTATAAATGAGAAACATCTTTTCAGTAAAAAGTGGTGAAAATGCACACCCCACGATGTTAATGGGTCAATATTTTCAGCAACTGGAGTTAGGTTAGAGGAGATGACTGATACACATACAGGTTTGTACAGATATAGGAGATGACAAGTATTTCACTTTAATTTCAGTTATCTTTACTAACAACTCTCAGTTCGTTTTTTTTTTATTATTGTTTTCAATAAGGAACACAAATTAGAACATAAGCGACCCATAAGACTTGAATTTGCAACACTTAGCAAACCTTTGACAACTGCCTTAATTAGGTCATGCAGACTTTCCAGATTTTAAAAGATTAATAGGGCAAACAACACTTTTCAGGAAGAATTTTAGCAAGAGGTCCTAACTTCCAGTGGCATGGATTTACCCGGCAAAGAAAAAGACATATTTAACCATCCACCCACTCAAACAGAATTTGGTACTAACTAGGCATGGTTTCAAATGGGAACCCCTACATATACAGAGCATTGGTAATAAAAATTACCCAGTTCCAACACACCTGGGTGGGTAGCTGGATTTTTTTTTTTTTTTTTTTTTTTTTAAATCAAACCCTAACCATGAATGGTTAAGGCAGATTGCATAAAAACTGACTGGAACAGAAAAATCTATTTATCGAGAAGTGAGAAAATCCTCTAATTTAAAAGGATTCCAGAATTTAAACAATATTCTTTTTCCTTTACATACACAATATTTGATAAATTAGACAAAGTGAGAAACTTTGATTTGATTACACATTTCGTCATCGTTTGACAGCCTTGTTCAGATCAGAATGAAAGAATTGTGTGTGTGTATTCTATGTCTTATTAATACACATTGTTGACATAGAAAACACAAAGACATATCCATAATTAATGAGAAAATATAAGAATCTTTTACTTTCAACTTGGTCTGAAAAATTGGTTAAGGATTTACCTTAAATTCACTGCAGAAAATTAGAGACAATATAAAAACATTGATGAGCCAGAGTCCCCAACTGGTTTCTGCTACTATCTCCAAATTGGATCTCCACAATACACGAAGACTTGATGGTATCCTTTTAATAGTCCCAAAGAAATGTGCTGCTAAAATGGATACTGCTCTCTCTGAACTCTACAATAAATACCTTCTTGCTTTCCTGATTGTCGAAAATCCTCTTCTGTAGTTTCTGTTTTTAAGTATTCGAGCGATATTCCTGACCATATTATTCTGCTTGTTTTTGGCAAACACTTAATGCCTCTAATCAAGTCCGAATTGACAAAGCAAGAATAATTGAAAAGAAAATGGCACAAATTAAAATAACAGCTTTTCAACAAAAACAAAAAAAAAAAAAAAACAAAAAAAAAAACCCTCATGCTTTCATCCCAACCGAGGAATGCCTGCTTAGCAAAATCCTATGAACAATATTGAATATATAAACACACATATTTCTTTCGTTCAAAATTCATAATCAATTCAATCAAAGTTTTTCATGTCTAACGTTGTCTTGATTCTGTATTCTATTAATATATATATACACACAATATTAGCAATATGTATAGATTTCTTAGATGAAACAGTCATTTTTATATTTTTTTTCCTTTTTTTTAAAAATTTCTATTCAATAGTTGGGCTGAGAACTTATCAGCATACAAAAAAAAATGAACTGCTTGAAACTAACAACAGTGGAGCAATGTGTAATTTGATTTCACCCAGAGGGAAGGAAACCAGAAAAAACAAGATATGATTTTATATATACATTAAATATCAAACATTATTTTCAGTGGAATTTGTTTGAACTAGACGACCCATTTTTTTTTAATTTTGAACAGTATGTATTGCATCTATTTGCCTGTTCACACAATTTAAAGTTTTCTTGAGTGTACAGGCTATTTAAAAAAAAAAAAAATGTGTGTGGGGGGGATATATATTTGAAACCTGAAGTGTGTGTGTGTGTGTGTGTATATATATATATATATATATATATATATATATATATATATATATATATAGGAAATCTAGTAAATCTGACATTGTTATTTTTAATGGATAAACATATTTGAGTAAAAGCTCTTTTTTAATTAAACGGTATTTTTTTTATTCAACTATGTTTACCGGCCTGAATATTGGAGAATATCAGAAAAATATGCATCCTCCAGCAGGATTCAAATCTGCATCCCCTATGAAGAACCATCATTGAATATGACGTGCCTGACACTTCAGCCATGTAGGACTTCTGGTCAAAGCTTGAATAGCGCCTTTTGAACACACACTGCTCTGCTGATTTTTGAAACATTTATATCTGCTCTGTATTGTATTCCTAACATAAACAAAAACAATTTATTTTTAGGAAATGGATTAAATCCAACATTCTCAAATATTCAGGCTGGTAGATTTAGTTGGATAAAAAATAGTTTAATTAAAACAGAGCTTCTACTTGAATATGAGTATCCATTAAAAATAATGTTTAAATAAAATAAATTAAAAAAACATACACACAAACAAACTTCCCCCTGCATTTGTGAGAGCTGTTAAATTACAAGGCCAAATGCTAAAAAAAAAAAAATATTGAAATTTGCCTCCAGAAAGAAATCTTTATGCATGGCCAGTTGTATGTTGCATGATCAAGAGTAAGAAATCCTAAGAATTTATTCTCCATTGTTAAAAAAAAAAAAAAAAAAAAAAAAAAAAAAAATTGTTTTATATCCTATAAAATTAAGGAAATTATTAAACCATGAAGTAGGGTTTTTGTTAAAGAATTTTACAAAACAAATCAGCTTATTTAAATTTCATTGATCAGTTTACAAAATTGAATGAAATGTTGAATTTGTAAATCTTGACAAAAAATGTTAGCTATAACTTCAAACAAGACATGTCAAGTTTTCGAAACATGTCAACATGTTCCCCCAAAAATTCTAGTAGTCTTTAATCATGAGCCTTTATACAGCTGAAATTGGGAGGGAAGATGGAATCTTTCTCTGCCTGACCTTCTTCCCAAAATCTAACCAAACATTTCAAAATCCCTTCTTGATTGAGGCCCGAGAACTTCAACACTTTATGTAGCTATTCAAACATGACTGCGTGGTAGATTAAAAAAAAATTCTGCACAAATGAATTGAGATTCCTGTTTAAACTGTACAATCCAAAATGGATTATTTTCTTTAAATAAATAAATATTAAGCCTTTTATGCAGTAATCTCCTGAAATCTAAAGCTGCACCTTGAATGTTTCATCAATATTCAGTGTGATCTATGCTGGCCCAATGGATAAGAACTGCAATTTCTAAACAAAAAATTTGAATATTGAATAATAAAAACACTTACATCATCATCATCAAACAGATTGATATCATCATCATCATCTGCTTGTTGCTTTTCTTCAGGTTCATTGTCGACTTCCATAATTTCATTTTCTTTGACATTCTTAGAGGTTTTCAATTGAGTGTTAAGGGAACTGATCATTTTCCTCAATTCCTCTACAGCTGAAACACGAGAGAAATACATTGAACAGTTTGCAAAGGACAAAGACATACAAAGCAATTATAATCTTCTACTGTTTAAAATCTTAATTTTGTTTGTTTTGTAACAGTAAATTTATTATTGTAAACAACTATTCATTTTCTTTTTAGCTTTTTCTCCTTTTGTAGATAAAGGAATGACACATATTAGAAGGCCAAAAATGATGAAAAATAAAAATTTCATTTTCTTTATATATAATTTTGAAGTTTCATTGCCATCAGGCCATTTGTTTCTGCCATCTTTCAAGCAACCTTATATTTTGTTGTATTTTCTCTTTAATTCCATCTTCTAGAACTTTTTCTATTTACTTTTTTCAAAGCCAGACTACAGGAAATTGAAATTTCTTCCATTAAGAGAATCCTGTAAAAAATAGAACAAATGTTAATCCAAAAATCTGCTAAATACAGCAGATTAACTTGTAAGTATTTTTATAGGATTAACAAAGAAACAGTCAAATGTTATCCTGATGGAATTTATTGTACTCTTTCTTTTAACATTCTGAATAGATTGTTTTTGTTGAATTACTAATTAGGAATAGTACTTGTTTGAATCAATCATTTGCTTCTCCAGAAGGAATACAATAGAGGACTTCCTTCCAATCCCATCATAGCCATTATTTGGTTGGATGGAGACCAACCTTTGGTAAAAATTCTGTAGAAATCATTTTCCGTATCCCGTAATGTTGTAAAAAACAAAAACATAATTGGTTTTAAAAATCACATGAAAATGAAAGAAGTATTGTAGTTGAATGGAAAACAACTCTTGGTAAGATTAGTATGTGTGTATGTGTATATTTTCCTTGCCCTATAAACACTTCATATTTCATTGCTCATTACAATTTCCAACAAGGAAAAAATGGTCCAGTAGATTGTTGTTGCCCCCCCCCCCCCCCAGCTAGATAAAAATGACAAACATAACCAAACTGATGTTTTCAATACTCGATTTCAATATTTTCAATAGGGTGGCTCTCCTCTGCATCCTACAAGGCCGATTATTCTCAAGCAATCACGTTCAACCTCAGCTTCTCTGCTCAGACATGAGATAATGTTCAACAACCGTTATGGCAAGAGTGACACTTAAAATTTGAGGAATCTAATTAAATGTATAATTATAACCCCGGAAAAGAGAAACAGTTTTTCTGATAAGACATTTTGAATAATATTGGTGGAATTTTGCTGAAACAAAACATTTTCTTAGAAAACTTATGTTCTTAAATAGTCTTGTCAGATTGAGACTCATTTGGACATCATGCCGGTTAGTCATCCAACACTTTTCAGATAAGACCAAGTTATCAACTTATAACAATTTTATCAGTTCAATGGTTAAAAATGGCTTCAAATGAATTTATTCTGTAAAAGACAAATTGATGTCAAATACAGAATCACAAAGAGTCTTACCAAATAACAAAACCCACATCACCTGAATACTCTATTTTCTTACGCTTAATATGAGAAATTAGAGGCAAGGGTGGGGAGGGTATTATATACAAGTACAGCTTTAAAAAGTCTTATTTAAAACAGCAAAATTGCAAATACACTTAGCACAATAGATAATAAAACACAAAGTAGGCAGGTGCTCATAATAATTGTTTACGAAAGGTATTTGATATGTTGGCAATATTCCTATTTTATTTTCATAGTTTATTAATATATAGAAATAACAAAGTCATATCAAACAGAAAAATATGATAGATAAATTAACACCTTAAAATGCATTACAGGGTATGTCTCGTTAGCACCTTTCCCTGAAAATACGTTTTGAAATGGGAATTAGAAGAAACATGCAGTGGCTACATGTCTGGTTTATTCTTTAATATCAAGAAAAATGAAATATTTTAGTGAAATATATGTATGACATTGAGATTTTAATGGATGATATGGTATAGCTTTTCAAAAGCAATTTACATAGGGATGACTGTACTACAAGGTTGCATTATACACAAGGATCTAATTTATTTTGGTTTTTAACATAAAAAAGGAGTTGGGGGGAGGTCGTATTATACACAAGAAAATCAGATACTTCCAAGAGTAACAACAAAAATGGGTGGCATATGTAACTAGAAGAGAAAATAAGGATAATCAAGATTAACTTTCTACACAACCTTAAACAAAAGGTTTGAAAGGAAACTCCCATCAGTGCTAGAATGAGCGATGTAAGTCTGTGAACTTAAGAAATCTAATTTCCTGAAAAATTGCTTTAAGAAAAATGTCAGTAGACCAGAATTCTGATCAATGAATTCTGAATGTTTCCTGTATGGAAACAGGTTAATTTTGCAATTATCAATTACAGTTTTCATTTCCTTTGTAGTTGAGATAATAAAGTGTATTTATATTTACTTAGTATGGCAGTCAAAATTTTTCTCTATGAATATCAAACTTGTTACAACAGTAATTACTTATGTGGGTCATGGATATATACTAAAGTTAAAAAGTTCCAAGTGCATCAGTCTTTTATATTTACTTTGCTTCAATTCTTGGTTTTCTTGTTCAAGGCGATGAATCCTCTGCTCAAGAGCATTTCCAATCTGAGCATTTCCAGTGTCAGCATTTGGAACCTGAATGGAGGTAAAAAAAAAACAAAAAAAAACACCAGACATTCTAAGAAATAAATCTTGATAAAACAGACAAGTTTGTTTTTTGTAAAGAAATCAATAAAAATGAGCAAAATCAAATGCACGAACTTGATGAGACTTTTGGATTAAAATTTAAAGAGAGTCAACATGAATTTACAACTGCTAATATCACAATTTAAAACAAATAAAATCAAATCAAAAATTTTCACAAATTAATATTTAAGACTGACAACTAAATCAATGAAATAAAAGGAAAAATCCAAGAGGCATCCAATTGGAAACTTCACAAAATTAAAAATACCATGTGAACATGATACAATATTTTGAACAAAGCATTTGAAGAGAGACTAAGCATAAAGCACAGATCAGTAATGCAAGGTTTTCTTGAAGACATTTACCTAATTCTAGTTAGAGTAGAAAGTATTAATTTTCCCAAAGAATTAAAGTTCTTTAAAAAAAAAAAAAATCATTTCGTCTAATAAATGTTATTCACTTTTGGATTTGAGAGATTTTTTTAAATTGCATTCCTTCAAGTCAAATTAGAAAAATTAAATCAACTAATCAAATGCAAGAACTGAGGCAAAGGCAGCAAAAGCAAAACTGCTTATTTAAACAAGTCATCTGGCAGAAGTTGTTTGCAATTTTCAGTTGTTTCCAGTGCCACATTACCTGACTGATTAAATAGAAGAAAAGTGTTATATTAAAGCTTTAAGTAAACACAAAAATTGATAAATTAATTCAATTAAATTCAATTAAAAATTAATTCAATTAAAAACTGATGATAAATTAATTCTACTTTCTTAGTTAATTGTTAGAATAGTAAATTTCCTGCTTATTGATTTTCCTTTTATCCCTCTTTAATCCCAGCTCCAATAATTTGCACCTTGACCTTGCAGTAGATGGGAAGACACATAAGCAAAAATCATTTTCATCCTTACAATTCTGCTCAGTGGGATTTGACTTATATTGTTTACCTTGACAAAATTTATTGGCTACAATCTTGATGAGAGGGGTGGGAGGTTACAAGAACATTATATGAAACTGACTATCAGTTGCAAATGGGACAGTGCTAGGAATTTAACTATTTGTACCCAGCAAGGAAAGTGTAAAAAAGAAAAAAAAAAATGCCCCTAGGGTAAGAATTTGCTAAATGAATCAGAACAGACTTTTTTAAAGCAATTATTGTAGTTAGCCAATAGATAGTCAAAATTGCCTTCATAAAACTTTCTTTCACCTTCCTCTATCATGACCCTTTCTGTTACATCTCGTGCAAGATATAATAAACAAAGTAACCCGAATGTTGGTTTTCAATAATAGGTTTATAATCGGATCTAGGTGTGTCAAATACAGAGACAGAGTCGGGAGTATGCTAACCTCAATAGGTGTTAACAAACGAAGACTTTCTGACTGTCTGCTGTGGTCGTACTTAATCAGCAACCAGTCCGTACATTATCGTGAATGGGGAAGTTGGGTTATATCATCACAACACTTTCAAAGAAAAATCTAAGTGAATGGGTCACTATAAAAGATGTAAGTTTTTTTTTTCTCCAGTCCTGTTTTACTGCAACAAGGTTTATCAAATACTGTGATTTTAGAAGAATTTTTGAGGCAGGCAGCAAGGTAAGTTAATAAAATTAAACCAAAGTAACATACCAATTCCCTTTAAAATTTTTTAGATTTTAACAAGTTTATATTAAAGTGAAAAAAATTTTTTTTTTAAAATACTGAAGCACTAATCATAACTATATTGGATTAAAATATTTCAAATTTCATAAGAGAAATATACAAGGAAATCATTTTTTTTTTGTTTCTTCATTTAACTGGTAATTATAATGTCCCATCAAGTTCTTTTATATTAAGTTACCTGAAAACAAAACAAGTAAAAAATTAATCCACAAATAAAAACTCCAAGGTGAATTTTTAAATCTTATTTAAAACATATTACAAATATGGAATACACTGGGCTGGCAGCTGAATATTTAATAAAATTGAATGTTTAAAAAATTTGAGATTTTCTAACAAAAATACCCAAAATTAATGCAAAGGACTTTGGATCAGAATTACATCCGCTTTTCATAAACTTTTGGATCATTCTTGGGAATTAATTTGAAAACTTGACAAGTTTGGACTGAAGGAAGACAATAAAATTCTCTTCAGATTCAAATCAAAACTAGCAAAAAAAAGAAAAAAAAAAAAAAAAAAAAAAGGGCCAATCTTCAGGATACAATCAGAAGAATATGGTTAGGGAGTCTAATCAAAATGGAAATTCAGTTTGCATGAAATCAAAACCATTTTGCTAACAGTACAATGAGCATAGACCCACCATGACAGACTGTAAAGTTAAACTCTGTGTCTGGCCCACTTAGTAATGGTTTCACTGGAAAGTTTACTTACATGATAACTGGGTAGTGTCACTTTATAATTTGTCAGATTATAGTTTTTATCCAGTTAATGCAATAAACAATTTCAAGATAAAAATTATCTCAATACACTTCCAATGAACCCTCAACAATTATTCAAGTCTTGTTCCAAATTAGGTACATTTTAATGTTTTGATCCCCATATGAAAATTTGAGGATATTGGGTCCCAAAACCTCAAATTATTAAATGATATAAGGTGTTTCATGAACAAGCAGTTGATAACATTCCATCCTTATTGAAAATATAAATTAGGCCCATTTTAGTGTTTTAAGCCTTATATGCTGCCAAATATTCAAAGAATTTGGAAGATTGTGTTAAACATTTAACTGACACAATTCTAACAAGTCCTCAACTAGTATCTTAGCCTCAATTTAAGCCAAATTCTGAGATGTCCAAAATTCAGTTTTCAGCCCAGTGTGTGTGTGTATATATATATATATATACATACACATACATATATATATAAAGGTGCTGGCTTATCAAGCAACATGAAATATCAATGCATTTCAAGTGAGCAGCTAAACAGATTTTTTTTATATATTTCTTTTTTTTAAAACACACACAAATAGAGAAAAATACATGCAATTTTAGAGGAGAGTTAACAGAAGAATTACCTTTCACCATGACAGCTAAGAAATAGAGAAAATATTTTCATAATTCTGATTCTATAATCAATGAAGAGATTCAACGTTAGGGACATTTGGGGGTTGACAGTGCAACTGAACAAAGAGAAACAGAAGGATTATGGGAATGCAGACAAGAAAGAGTAAGAAATAAAAATATAGATTTTAATGATAGATTTGTTAACAACTTCCCTCAAAAGAGTGAACATGCTTTACAAGTCTACAAAACAAAAGAAAGAAAAAAAATAACATGCGATAAAATAAGTCATCAAAATGGAGGATGAAGTTTGAAACCAGTCAAGTCAAAAGTGCAAAATGAACAGATGGGCTTTTTTGGAGGTTAATATTTTATTTACAATTGTTTCTTCATAAAACCAAAAACAGTAATTAAGTTGTACCATTTAGCATAAAGATATCAGGGCCACCAGCATTGTAAGATTGATCCTAAGAGAAGAAATTCATTACCGACTATCAACAGTGTATATTAGTAAAGAGACATTAATGATGATAATATCAATCAACTTCAAAAGATATTCTTTATCTTTTTTTAAATCAACATGATCTTGTGGTCCCACCCCGACCAAAAGGGGGATTTTTTTTTTGTTAGGAGGCAACAGGCAAAACAGATTTCCATGAAATTGACTTTTGCCTCTTAAGATTCCATTGTACTTTTGATAAATACTTGTCTATTGACAGATTTTTCTTTTTTTCAAAATCACAAGAGAAAATTTCTAAACTGCTTTGACTGTCATGCCAATTAATTAGACATCACAAAAATTTCACCCCCCCCCAAAAAAAAATCACCCGTTATCTTGGAGGTAGAATTAATTTAAATATTCTGACAAGTCCCCTTTGGAATCCTTATGAAGAGGAATTAGCAATTAATCAGTGCCACCCTATTACCATTTCAGGAGTGATTTAAGTCACATGAATGTTTTTTCTTTAGTCCCATCCAATTATGAATTTACATGGAAAATTTTGATTTTTGATAATACAAAAGTACAAATCAAAAATCTTTAAATGCTTGCCATTTTGACTTTACCAGTGTATCTAATTTGATAAAAATTCAATAAGCAAACTGGGTTTTGTTAAACAAGAAAATATGCATGCTTAGTAACCATGCCAAGAGAAAAAAAAATTAGGATTTTGAGACAGGCTAGAATAAAGGTTTTGTGACCTTTTATGAGCAAAATTATATAAAACACAACATCAATAGAATATTTACTGTAATTCTAACTACAAGTGTGATTTGACTAAAGTCATTTCTGTTTAAAGCTAGAGACTTAAGCTATGCACAATGTTATTCAAGATAAGGAAAAGCAAAAGGAAATATTCTAATTATTTGAAACCAAATATCAAAAACTATCTACTGTACAAAAGAAAATTTTCAAAAAATGTAAAATGAAACAAACAAGTGGGAGGCAGAAAAAAAAAGGCATTGAGGCTGTAACAATAGAAATGGCAAGAGTAAAGCTAAAATGTCTTAAAAGGGAAAACTATATATTGAAATAAAACTTTTATATGTTTTGCAGACAGCAAGATGAGGTATATTAATTACCTACCTGGGCTGCAGGTAGAACTTTCAGCATGTCTTGTTTGGATTTGGGACCAAAAATGTTTGCACAAGATAAAGAACAGAAATTATTTTTTTTTAAATTGTAAGTTTATAGGGAGGCATTGAGTGTATGTTGGCATAGAATGCAAAAGATATATATTAACAGACAGTCAGTCAAGTGCACTTAAAGCACACAGGAAGTAAACTTTTTTTTTTTTTCTCTTTTTGCCAGATAAAGCAAAGGTGAAAAATTCCTCAAAGAAATTGTTTTGTGACAAAAAACAGCTGTAATATGTCCCTGTTCAATTCCCATCCACCATATCTACAAAGAATTCTACAGAGTTTTAGAAAGAGATTTAATCAATTGATATCTTAATCTTATTGAAAAGCACAGAGTGGGACTTTTAGTAAATCTTGAGACTGAACTTCAGAAACAAAAATTTACAAATGCATTTTGACTATTTATTTTTATTCATCAAGTTTGTGTCCATGCGTATTATAACATTACACTTTTGACAGAAGATGAGACAAATTTGTTATCGTTTGAAGTGATATTAAATTATCTTTAAAAACAAATCTGAATAATTTTTATCTCATCATATTTATACAAAGATTAATACATTTTTAATTGTGATTAACATAATGACTGCCAGCCACAAACTAACTTGTAGCTGGCAATTTTTATGATGAAACCAACAAATTATCTATTGCTTGACATTTTCTGATATATTTTCATCTTTGGGTGCCAACAAGTCTATTTAGTGATACTTTTAGTGTGAAAACAATGTTTAGACTTTCAGTTGAAGTAATAAATCAACCTGTAAAAATGTTTCATGGTCTAAGCCGTCATCTGAAGTCAGATTTTGTAATGGACTTCTAATGCTTAATGTATTAATGAATTTTGAATATCCACACTTTGATAGTGCATAATACTGCAAGTTAAAGAGAAAAAAAAAAAAGTTAAATTTCTTTTAAGCTTTATTTTCAAAAGCCACCAAAAAAAATTCTAATTTTGATGAAATCAAGCACTTCAATATTATCACGGAAAAAAAAAAAAATTCTGTAGAAATGCATATTTACACGTTTTTTGTCACGATAAAAGACACCAATTCAGAAAGGTAAAAGAAAAAAATTACACAATGGAAAGAGAAAGAAAGCCATAAAAAGGATAAATTAAAAAAGAAAACACATTGCAGAGATTTGCTGCAAGGCACAATTAAATGGACGACAACAATGAGGACCAAGTGAAGAAGTTCTCACACTCACTGTGTTGTTCATAGCAGTTTGGATATGTTGCCGTATCTGTAGTATGTCCTTAACTAATGTACTGGAACCTTTGTCTTCCTACAAAAATAAACCACTTTATTTATAGCTAGTGTAACAGTTTCTTTTGTACGAGTATGGAGAAAAATTCATAGACATCTTTTTCTCTTCCTCTCTCTTTTTTTGGGGGGAAAGGGGGTAAAAATCTAAAACAAAAAGAATGTGAAAAATAAATTTACAGAAAAAAAAAAAAAAAAATTAATGGTGTTGATACCAATCACCTAGAAAAGGTACACAGAACAAATTTTGAACAGTACTGTATTGGTCTTTTTAAGCACCCCCTTTGGCTATTACATAATAATGTAGAAGGAATTTGAGAATATTAAGTAGGAGGGAAAAAATCATTTAAAGGAATTAATATTATATTATGCCAAATCCTACATAGGAAAATTGTAATTTGGAAGGTGCTTAATTAGAATAATACAGTAATTGTGTTAATAAAAAAAAAAAAAGTGTAAATAAATAAGATGAAAATTTTTAAAAAACTGAATGAGAAAATGAAGCTAACCAAAGATTAAGTTTTTTTTTTTCTTTTTTAATAGGCAATACAAGTATTCCAGTTTTTCATGTCAAGATGAAAATACAAGATTTTGCATGTGAAAAATGAAAAGATTTGTAACATTAAGACCTTTTTTGTAAAAATAATAAAAAACTGGTTGTAATCTCAAAATTTTTGTTTTTAATTCTCTTCAAAATTTTAATTTCTATAATAGCTATTAAAAATTTACAATTTATCTTCTTTTAATTCCATTGAAGGAATCATTAGTGTTGAACATAACTACATAGCAAATCTTCTATTATGGTCTCTTTGATACAATGGAATAAAACAATTATTTCAGAGGGAAACAAATTCTGGAAATTAATATAGAAATGGGAGGTGAAGGTGGGAAGAGCTTACTTTATAGTTAAGTAACACGAGATTCCAATAATTTGTTCATGTATTTATCTATCTCTTGTTAAAAATGTTTTGCAGAGATTAACAATTCTAAAATTCTGGGTATGTATATTAACATTTTCACTGCTGCATTATTATAGCATTTGTTGCCTGGTTGTGCAGACCCATTTTGAAGAAGAAAAAAAATTGCTATTTATTGAAAATAAAGAACTATAAAGTCATTAACAATGATTTTTCATGAGTGCTGCCATTTTGTTTTTTTTTATCAGATACTCTGCAGTACAGATTAAGCTACCAACAGTAGGCAACATAAGCATTGAAAAAGCGTGTAAGTACATTCACAGCAGTGAAAATGTTAATAAATACAAATTGGTATTAATGTTTGGAACTAGAAAAGATAAAGAATTTTTTTTTTTTTTAAATTGTTGCAAATAGCAGCCCAGGTGTTGTACCATTAATTCCTAAGTGATTGGCATTTTCTCTTTCCAATGTCACCCCAACTTCTAATTAATATTCAGCAAGACATTGCTTTAATAAAACGACATGAAGTATAAGATAGTAGGGATAGAAAGAAGGAAACATACCTACAAAAGACAAGTATTCTTTTATTTTTCCACCTGCTATCATTCATCTTTCTAACTAGAAAAGAATGAATTTCTTTTTTGTAAAACAAAATGAATGACATCATCTATACCGAAGATAGTTTAGGTGTAGACACCAAGAGAAGATGCTTTTTTTTTTATTCTTTATTTTTTTAAATAGCAATAAACATGGCTTCTTGCATGACTTTCAGGATATTTGCTAGCTTTCCTTTTCAGAGTCAGGGAAAAGCCATGTAACATTTTTATACTTTGTTAGCATGTTCACTTTCTTGGAAATAAAACCTTCATTTAGGTTTTTCCGACTTTCTCAAGCTGTATTTATTTCTTGTAAAAAGCGTTTTTAGGTAAATATCTGTAATTATGACAGGTACTACTAAGGCCACCATCATATAATTGGTAAAGCCAACACTACCAGCTAACCATGGTTATAGATCCACTCCTACCCAGAGTGATAAACTGCCAGAACAAAATATTGGATAGAGGAAAAGATAGCATTAGCTTTTCAGCCACATTTCACCATGATTGCCCTTGTGCCTTACAAAGTCAATTTTCAAGATATTGCTAATATTGCTAATGAAGTGGAAAGACTTTACTGAATCCATTTCTTGGTCAGCTGCTAAGAAAGTCTGCTCACAGTCATGTAAGACAATTTTTCTCTACAGGATCTATCTTAAATCTATAAGTCTACCATTTGTTCATACTTAGAATATTGCTGCCATATATGGTCTGAGACTCCTGCTATTTACCTTCAGCTCCTTGATAGAATCCACAGAATTAGCAATATTATCAGTCCTAATTTGCAGTTTGTAGAACTCCTTTCTGGTTCCATGCTTTCCAGCCAACTTTAATCTTCAAAGATTTAAATGCAGTGTCAATTGCTGTCTACTGTCCTGATTACTCTTTTTGTTCCCACTCATTAGTAATGCTTATGTTTCTAATTCTACCACATCCAGTAATACCTTGTGTTTTAATGACTTTACTGTCTTACATGGGGAGAAATCAATTAAATAAAGAAAACAAAATATATAAAACATTTCAGTATCAATTTTTAACTAGTATTACTTTCCATAATTTAGTCAGATTTTTCATTTCATCACAACTTTCTTCAAAGTCTAGAGCAGAAAGTAAACAGTGCAGATTAGAAAATAAATAATTTCATGGTAATTCATTGAAAGAATTTCTATGGCTGGCAGAAGACTAAATATGACCTTAAAGTCTACCTTAATTCTGAAGGAAGGTGTGGCAAATAAAATTTTTTATTAAATGAGATTTTGTTCAAAGCCTCTTCATAAAATAAACTTTGAAAATGCTACCTAAAGAACTTGCTATTTTCTGGTATTGAGGTCAAAAAGGTGTTTAAGATTTAAAAATAAAAAAACAACAGGACATGTATTATTCAATCCTTAAAAGAATCAGCTATCAGCAAATACTACTTCTTTCGACAGTACTAAACTTGTGTATTAGATTTAACACCTACCATCCCATTTAAGACATAGTGAGCATTAACAGGTCATCAGTAATGATTAATACTAGGTATAAAAAAAAAGAAATGAAAAAAAATCTATAATAAATTTTTGATGAATACCAACTATGTGCTGGCATTAGGGATTAATTTCATTAAAATCTAACATTTTTATTGCAATGCCTAAGAAATGTACTACTCTTCTCTGTTAAACAAATTTTACATTTATGTGTCCCATAGCTCATTAATCATTCGTGTCTAGGGCAAGACATCCCTTTCTAAGCAGGTTTTAAATTAAAGAACTGGTCTCCTAGACTGGCTGCCCTATCAAGCTATAGAACCTAGTCTGCCCTGTAATTTAGCCCATCACTTGAAGATGGGTGCTTTTCGAAAAAGGCATTCATGCAAAGTAGACTATCAGAAATTGAACTTGGCATGTTAATTCCTCACCAATAGCCATTATGCAACCTGCATATCCTATATATTTCTAGAACTTAAATAATTAAGTGGGAATTAAAGTAGAATCAACATTTTATAGACAGAAGAAATTAGTGCAATTATGCCATATTTTAGAAAGTAAAGTTTTTTCTCACTTATTAAATTGCAGTATGGAATATTTGCCTTGACATTAAAATAAATAAACAAACAGGCAACCATCTCAAAGGATCTGTATTTTAAAGACTTGGATGTGTTAGTAGGACAGCTCAGAAGCCTCTAATTGAAACATTTAAACTACAGAAAGATTTAGGCCTTTATATATTTTAATTAGAAAATGATTCCAAGCTAATGCATAGGGATGGGAAATAAACCATCAAGATGAAGGCAACGTTTTATAATAAACTTGAAAACAAAGATTATTGATATCTTTTATTGTTAATTGCTTTTACCAGTGACATTTATCGATAGTTTGCAAAGAGAAATGTAAACAAGCAATTGTGAAAGTAATATAAATTATATTTAATTATCAAATTTAAAGCTAGTGTTCAAATGTTATCTTTTTTAAGATTTTTATACCCATATTTCAATGGGGAAGGGGAATCCCTATAAATGTTAAATTTCTCACAGTGCACTTAAGCAGAAATAACCCACCAAAATGACTTTAAACCTCTACAACCCACAAATTTGTAATACTTGTAAATGTATATGGATCCTTTGTTTTATGCCATCTCCTCAGGAAGTATGTGATTGTGGCTCTTCAGATTCCTTTATTACTTGTGAATTGTTTTGCATTCTTGGGAATGATAGGGGAGTAGTTTCCCTTACTTTCTCCATGGTTTAGATTCCACCACCACCTTTCCTTAAACTGACTGCCATCCAAGACTGAAAAACCCATTCAACCCTATTATTTAACCTATAGCTAGGGAAGAGAAAAGACGGATTCATAGTTTTTCAAAGTGACTGCAAGACAAGCCTGAAATTTGAACCCTTCTCATCAATATTCATTACTCTATTAGCACATGTCCATGTTTTTGCCCAAGAGTTTCAAAAGTTCATATTTTAAGGAAGTGAAAAAAACAAAAAAAAACAAAATAAGTAATCTGTGCCTTAGTTTAAGTATAATTGATAACAAAGAAGAAAGAAGGAAACAGTTGTTGCTGTTTTTAAAAAAACCGAGTTTATAAAAATAATACCAAGAAACCAATATCTTACTATACAATACATAAGAGTTTTCTTTTTCTTTGTCATTAATCTAATTTTCCTGCATAAGTTATCTCCCATTATCTGTGAATTGCCATGGTAGACCATTCCTAGACATTTGTGAAACTGGAGGTGAAAAAGCAAATTCCATCAAATAACAGAATACGACAGTTGGGATAAAAGTGCCCTTCTCCTCTACCCTACATAAGCAAACTAGCATATATTTATATACTGATATCAATAACCTTGTATAACTCAACCAGCCATTTATAAATTATTAAAACAAAAGAGCGTTTTTAAAGGATATATTCCAAAGGAAAAAAAACATCTTCATAGACATTTACAAAACCAAAACAGTTAAATTCCCTCTCTTTTTGCTCATCAACTTCGATAGCAAAATTCCATGAAAAGCAGGAGGTCTTTTAAACTTTCTATTCACATAACAAATTGTAGTGCTTACTTTGGATGTTAAAACCTTAAAATAAACATGGAAATAATATAAATTAAGCAGATCATTACTGTGAAACATGTTCAGTTCCTCACTAGAGTACACAATAGTTATGGCCTTGTGCCAGACTAAGTAAATATCAGTAAATTAAAAGACTAAGAATTAAGAAAATCCATCTTAATTTTTTTCAGAGAAAGTGAGTAAAATATAACTTGACACAGAATATGAAACATCTAATTAGGAACAAGGAAGAATCCAAACTGCTCATGCAACACTGACAAAATGGTGGCCGGGGGGGGGGGGTTATATATATATATATATATATGGATAGATATGCAAAAATGTTCATGCTAACTTCCAAGAAGAAACTGCTGGAAAATCCTTGGTAAAAAGCAGAAGTGAGAGAGAGAGAGAGAGAGAGAGAGAGAAAGAAAACAAAAGCAAAATAAAGGAAATCATAAAAAAGAAAAAAGTTCCATTCATTCTGCTGCCTTAACAGGGAAAAAAAAAAAAAAAAAAAGCTTTAGAAGAAAAATAAAAATAAATAAAAAGTAGCACTCTCCAAAATGTAGTGAATCTTAATGAATTTCATAGCAAGCAACTTCCAGAAAAAAAGAAAAAACCCAAGTTTTTAATTTCAGCATCAATAGAAAGAAAAATCAGAAGACTATCCCATCTCATTTTGAATGAAATTGGTTATATGTATATCTTGCCATCATTCAGTCTAGAATTTCTCAAGTTGGAAAAAAACCTTTAGTAAATGGGTTACCATTCTGAACTTACAAAGACATTAGATTTGTTAATAGTAAATGTTTGCAAGCTAGAGACAAATGAACTTTAGGTACCAGAAGTTAATAGCAAAATTCTGTGTGCAAGCAAGAAAAGATATTCTAATTGCATTGAGAGTTTGAAGACAAACTGCTATTTGGTCATTTTACAAAGCCAGAGAAAATTATTCTCAATCCCAGGAAGTAATGCTTAATGTAAATGAAAAAAAGATTCAGTCATTCTTTTGTTTTTAACACATTCCAATAAAATAATAATATAGAAATTATTTTACAAAATGAAAATTTATAGAATTTTAACTCTTGATAAAAAAAAAAAACAATTTCCCACCTAACCCAAACTCATTTTTAAGACCATTTTACACTGAGCCAAACTATAGTAAAATAAAAATGTTTGCCAAAAACATCCAAAAGTTGATGCACAGTCACTTATAAAATTAGGGTTGATATCCTGCTTCAGAAAAAAAAAGCTGCCATGTCAAGTAAAATGTTTATGCGAAAAAGAGGATAAAGCTACATAATTCTTGTACTATGCAGCTGCTACGTGATTTTGTTTCAGTGTAAAATGGTATTTAATTTCACATTAATATGGTAAATCAATAAACTTAGCAAAGAGGAATAATCTAATAACACACACCTTTTCTTCATTCTGATGATCCATACTGACCAAAATACTTAGGAAATAAATTTATCTTTTTTGCCTCCAAAGAAAACCAACTAATATCTATTATCAGGGCTTTAAATGCCTAAGAACATTGATATTTGTTAAAGCAATCCAGTAGAAGGCTTTGAAAAATATTTCTACACATAGCTAAAAATGAAAATAATTTGACCATTTTCAAGTTTCACTATCCTTATTTATAAACACTTCAATATGCAGCCTGAAAGAACAAGACAGACATTAAGAATACTATTTGAATTCATAATTTTTAGTCTTCATTTGGTTTTTAGCTGAAACATTAACAAATATTAGAATCCTCCTTTAAGCTGCCCACATCACTTTGAAGCAAACTAATTTCTAAAATGTCACTCTAAAAAGGACTATTATTTATTAAAAAAAAAGTCAACAATTGATTTAAGTCAGAGTATAAGCTGATCTCCACATTAAATGAGAACATATCACAGATTATACAGTGAAATCAGTAGCTGAAATCCGTTCATGTTGTCAGGTAATAACCTATATTCATATCCTATATAAGCAATATTATCACATTTTTTGGTTGCAAGTTAAAACTAAAATTAAAGCAAATAGTCATGAAAACAGAAATAAAATAAAAATATATCTCCAAAGAAAAGTGATATCTAAGGCTTAAAAGGATTTCTTAAAAAAGAAAAATCTTTCTAGAAGCTTTTATTTTAGTTTTAATTTCAAACTAATAGATTAAATTTAATATTTCCAATAAGCAAAATACTTTGCTGTTTTAAAAAGAAATTAACTGGAAGGAGTTATTTTTTAAATAGCTAAAAATGGCTGATTTTAGCCATATTTACAATCCTGTTATTACCATGACAACATGAACTGATTTCATCATGTATGCTCATATTTTACCAAATCTTTGGAGGTACCTATGTCATTCACATAGAGACTGTTTTTCTGTATCACAGCTCATAAGTGTAGCTAAACATCTGATTGCTTCAAGATATATATATAATAATATCTGTAAAGACAAAAAGGAAAATTTTCCGTGTGTGTATATATATATATATATATATATATATATATCACACACACACACATACACACAATGCCTAAGATAAACTGCATCAGGGAATACAAATATTAAATTAAAATTCCCTAGGTTTTATTTTTCAATTTTAACTTTTAAAACAAGTAATGAATACCCACCTCAAAGTAGGGGCAAAATGTATATTTTTTTGCTACAATATAAATAGAATTTGTAAGGCTGCTGTAAATTTTTAGCAATACAGACCAACTGCAGTTTGCTCATTCTTATAGACAAAAAACATGGATTGGTTATAAAAAAAAAAAAAAGTTAGGAAAGGCACTACATACAAGACCCATATTTGGCAAAATCTTTATATAATGACCAACAGTTAATTTTTAAAAACAAATAGATCAGTGTTATGAAAAGTGTTTCAAAAATAAAAATTATCATCAGTCTAAATTTTTTTTAGTGACAAAACATTTCTATCTTGAAGAACTCTAGAACAGATGAGAGTCCCTAATATTTTTAAATGACAGCAGCAAATAATAAAAAAATACATTTAAAATTTAGAAGCCAATATATAAAAATTCTACAAGCAAGATATCAATAACCAACCAATATCAAAATTCAACAGTGGTGTGAGGGAGAAAAAGGAAAAGGATAAAGGGGAAAAAAAAAAAGAAAGATCTTTATGTAATAAAAGTACAAATTGGAGTAAATATAACTGGGTTTTTCTTTTCTCTTTGAAGAATTAATATCAACCAGTCTAGAAATAAAGAAGTCCTACTAAATAAAATGTGCCTTATGAAAGGAATCAAACTGGTATTCCATTTCCAGCAGAGAAACAACTTAAACCAAGTATTCTTTTCTAATTAGGTTATGGTACACCATCAATAACAAACCAAAGCTCAATTAAACTTACTTACTGGCATGATAAAAATGGTTTCCCTGACAGAAAAAAAAAGAAAGGAATAAAAGTTAGATTCCTTTTCTTTAGTAGGAAATCAATCTTTTAGCCTAAGGACAAATAATAATGGGAAAAAAAAAGAGAGAGAGAGAGAAAGAGAAGGATCTCCAAAGCTTAGATTAATTAAATTGTTTTTTATTAGTTAACTTTAAATTCATTATTGTCCAATAAACATAAGCTGTTAGACACATAAAGCAATAATTTTAAATATCTATTACATAAAATTCTTTATTGATTAGCTTATGCAGTGTAAAGCCTTGATTCCATTTGTAATATTTGCCAAGGGACAGAAAAACAGCGAATGACATTCACATTCAAGAAAAAGTTGCAGAAAAAGAAAGATGGGGGGAGAAGCTGCATTAAAATGACTGCAAGGTTTACTCACATGATCTGAGACTTTGCCATGGATAAGGTAATTTTGGAAGACAGATTCTGCTTCTTCAAATCTCGGTTGCTGTAGCCAGACAGTATCATAGACAAGAGGGCTAGTCATTCTGAAACAAGAAAATTTCAAATCAGTAATATAGTTTCATGTGAAGAAATCTAAATGAAGAAATTCAAAAATAAAAAAAATAAGGGGGAGGTAATTATTAATAATACAATTAATTATTATCAGGTGAAAAGAATCAATTCATCTGCGAATAAGTTATCTAACGTGAAAGAAAAGCAAGCTTCTATCTTAGAATTTTCAGAAACTTATAGTAAAAATTGTTTTCATGTAGTTATAGGTTAAATACAGTTTTCCTATAAATATTCCTAAATGCAAAGCAATTATGTAAAATGAATTAACAGGCATTAAGGAAATTATATCATGGCTAAACAAAGAACATCATGAGTCTTAAGCAAACAAATATAAATTTAATTTATAATAAATATTAAATTGTATAAAAAGAGACCAGCTATATATGTTTTTGTAAGAGAGAAAGATTTTAAATGGGCTTCTATTCTCTCACTATTTGAGAACAAATCAATGTTAAGATAAAACTTCCAAGCTTAGATCATCATTACTGGACCTTAAAGAGGTCTCCATGCTCCTAGAGAAAAGTTGGTGGTAGTGAAAATGTATTAGCTTGGTACAAGATACTTGTATAGAACAGGGTATGATAAGCAGAGAATGGGGAGAGGAAGGGGTGTAGAGTGGAAAAAGAAGAAAAAAGAAAAATGCCATAATAAAACTAAATTTCTATCTACTAATAAATCAAGTGAGAGAGAGGTAGGAGAGTGAAGATCACCACCCCCTCATCATAAGAGGCAAAAAAGTATCAGCAGCTGCAGAAGTTAAAAGTAAGTCTAACAGGTTTGTTTTTAGTCAAGTTGGGTGAATAGCAGTAGTTGCAAAGCAGCAATACTTTTGTTGATGGTATCAATTTCTGCAAAGGAGAAAGGAATTTGATTCTTTGAACCAAAAAACTGACAAGTTATTAAAAAGGCAAAACATACGAGGTCTGATCAAAAACCATCAGGACTGTTGCTATGGTAATGGAGCTAAAGTACGCAGAGTGAAGCCACTTGGTATAGATTGACCATGAACCCTGTTGTACATGTACACTAAGTTATAACATTCCCGTTTACACGCATTGGTTTATAGCAGTGATGGGACTACTTTGAAGGAGATTAAATGCCAAATGGATGTGTTGAAGTTTTCTTTTTAGCACCAGTCCCAATACATTTCGATCAAGCCATGTGTGTGTGTGTGTGTGTGTAATTATATACACACACACTTTATTATAGGATATTAAATTAAAAAATGTAGAAAAATGCTAAACAAATGCTCTCATGTTTCAATGTCTATCAACACATCTCAGGCCTTAGTAAATGATTGATTATTATAATTTATTAGGATTTTAATCACATATAACCTCTTTTCCCATGAAAAAAGAAAAGAAAAAGACCAAGCTACCCTTCAACATCTAAAGACCTCTTTACACTGGCATTAGAATTTGCCAAAGTTTATTCCAACATCTCAAGTGAAGAAATAAATATTATCATGAATTGTAGGAAATCTGTCCTCATTCAAAATAAAGAACAGTGAGTAAAAAATTCTGATGATAACTTTAACATTTGATCATTGGATTCTGCAAAGCCTTCTGACCTGATTGGTTCATATTTTGTATAACCTTACTGCTTATGAGATCAATCTAGATAGTATAGGGCTATATCAAGGTGATGGTCTTATGGTTGTAAAAAAAAAAAAAATTCTACAAAAATTAAAGTTGATAAACTTAAAAAAATGATTCACAGGGAATTTAAAAGATCTTAAGGTTAAAATAAATACTAATCTTAAAGAAGTTGATTTTCTTGATGTAATGTTGGATCTAGTCTATGACAAGTGAGTATAAGTGTGCTGAAATTCAGTTTAGAGAATATGATGGCAATTCAAAGAAAAGAAATAGAAAGATCATCTAGTACACACCTCCATTTAATCAATTAGTTAGTATGAAGGTAGGCCATAAGTTTCTCAAATGAATTAAACATTTTCTGAAAAGCAACCCACTTAGTAAAATTTTTAATATAAATACATTAAAATTTAGTTATAGCTGCACCAATAATCTTGAGAAAATCAAAGTTGCACAACCATAGAACACTAAAACAATTTAATAATTTTAACCATAATGCAAATATTGTTAAAGACAGTGACCAATGTAAGTATAGGAATCCTAACCAATGCCCATTGTCTAACAAATGCTCAACTGAATCTCTTGCGTATCTGTGTTCTATCTCTACAATAGAAAATCTCAGGGTTGGAAAGTTTTATATTGGCAGTACCAAGAATTCTTTCAAGACATGGTGCTATCAGCACTTATCGACTTTTACTAATGTTACTTATAGAAATAATACTTCACTTTCAAAATATTTTTGGAAGTTGAAAGAAGAAAAATATCCCTAAAGTTAAATCGAAAATTTTAAAACTGACAAGGACATATACACCCTTATAAAACTTTGCTTTCTGTGCTTACAGGAGTAAATGCAGATAATCAGATTTTTAAACAGGGAGGATTTATTAAATCAAAGATTTGAATTAATGGTCAATTATAAACACATTTTACCTTTGACCCTGCAATCTTGCTAGAATATGTTGAATAACCTTGTTGTAAACATATAAAGCTTATCTTTAATGTTTGATCTATTTCGATGTTTGTACTTTATTCTTCTAAAATTACTAGTAATTTTTAGTCTAGCGCTATGTGTTTGGCTCATGTCTTAACATTTTCCATTGATTTGTTTTATTAATACACTATATTAACAGTTAATATATAGTTAACAGTTGCAGCTATATATATTATTATTATTTCATCTGATCTATATGCTAAAAGTTTTTGTTTACTAAATTTTTTTTAAATATTTTGTTTGAGCTTTAGGTTTTCACTATTTTGTTTAACAATTGTTTCCTTTTCTTTCATTTATTTCTTAAAGTGCCATATTTATCTACTATAAAATTGTGAAATTCTTACTTTTTTCACAAGGTTTATCTAGTGTATTGTTAAATTACGTTTTCTTCCTCAAAGGAAATGTCAGCTGCCTGATGTTAACATTGTAGCAAAGACTTGTTTCAAATATAACATCAGAGTTGGTTGCAATTTTAAATGTTTCATGAACTCTTAACTAGCATAGGTCATTTTGATTGGTTGAACCGATTATAAACATAAATCCTGCTACTTTACACACTATGCTTTCCTATATATTTTTCTTTTTTTCTGTTCTCCCTTTTCTTTGGAAAATATTATATCTTGAGTCTTTCTTTCCTGAGTCTTTCTTTTTTCATGAGAAGAGGTTGTATGTCAGTAAAATCCTAATAAATTGTAATAATCAGTCATTTACTAATGCCTGATGAGATGTGTTGATACACGTCGAAACATGAATGCATTTGTGTAGTTTTTTCTACATGTTTGAATATAATATCTTATAATAAAGAATATTTCTCTATTTGATTGTATTGAGCCCTATTTTAAATTAATGTTATGAATACTGGAATTTATGTTCAATTCGGTCTCATTTCATATATGTGTGTGTGTGTGTGTGTGTGTGTGTATATATATATATATATATATATATATATATATATATATATATATATATTTTTTTTCAGTTCCTTAGATATAATGAAGACAAATACAGCTACATTTTATTCTTCTTGGCCTAGAATATAATTACTTTTCTTCCATTTAAGTTTTTTTTTTTTTTAGTTGCTCAACATAGTGTCTATCTATTCCTTAGTAAATTTTTCTAATCAATGTATAAACTGGTGTAAAGTTGTATGATCCATATTTAGAATAAAAAATAATAGAATTCTCAAAGACTGAAAGACATTTTGATCAGATAGCATTAGAAGAAATTTCCTTCAATTGACATGAGTTAGAAAAGCTTTGTGTGTGCATGCAGACATCATTGCTTATATTAACAAACATTTAGACTATGTTACATATTCAAGTCACTTCATTTGGATTTCACAAATAGAAAAAACTAGTGTGTGTGTGTGTGATGACACAAACTAGTAGAGAAAAAAAACAATCCCTATAATAATACGGTGTAAAGGGAATAAAAAAAAAAAAAAAAAAAAAAACTTATCTTACTAATATTAGTAAAAGTACTACCATATGTTCTCAAATTAATTTTTTTCGCACTAAGTCTAATGAAAGATGCCAAAGTAGAAATGCAAGTGTACCGAAATACGACAGCTGGTTGAATGCCTTTTAGTCTACCAACTGGTGTGTCGTGTCTACTTACATTTATATCTTTGTCAGCCTATTAACTTTCCAGCTGGCCTTGTGTGTGCATATATATATCATAAATAAAATTAAATAATTTAGAAAGTAAATTTATCAGAGTATTTAATCAATTAGAAATTCAAGAACTACAGTAGGAGTAAAATGGTACAAAAAACCAGAAAATTAAAAACAAAAAAAAAAAATGTCAAAGAAATTGGAAACATCGACAAAAGATGGCACTCTGGCCAATATGTTTATTGTCAATGAAGCCAAGACTGTATCTAAGAAAGAAAATTGATCTTCAGGTGTCCAATTGAGCAAAATATTATTCAATGCCTACCCTTATATAAAGTTACCACAAAATGTACTACCAACTATAGATACACTACTAAATCAAGTCATTAAAGTAGTGGATTCATTTTTTTTTTATTTTTTTTTATTTTTTTTTTTTTTTTATGGCTGTGTGGATTATAAGATTATTTTTTTTATTTTTTTGTAAGTGAATATTCCATTAACAATTTTTTCCAGATAAAAGTACTACTATGTAACCCATTGCTGGAGGAGGAAAGAAGGGATGGATTCTTATCTTTCCCAAGGGTATATGCATGTAAGTGAATGCAACAAACTTAATTGGCATTAAAATAGTGGAAGACTCAATGAAATAGTGAAAAAAGATATGTAGGGGAACAAATTTTCCGCAATCACAGAATCATTAATCTTAAACAGAATCTGGGTTTTTAATGTAATTTTCAATAACAACAAATTAATTATTTGATTTTTGTTTTCAT